TACATGACATTGGGTAGCTAGTCTAACTGCATACCAACTGCATATTCTTCTGCCTCTACTGCTGCTGACACATGTCCATTCTTATAGGCTGCCTTCATCAATTGTAGCGCGGAGAAAGTGGATGATGCGAGTGCGTTGCGGCGCAGAGTTGATGTGATGCCCGCGCTGGAGAAAGATCGAAGCTTTCGTTGTTGATGACGTGGCCTCTGGCTCCTTGGGATGTGGTCCTGGGGCTGGAGGTGCTTGATAATATTTGTCAAACTAAGAATACATCTGGAGTTAGAGACCGGTAGGGTACTTAAGTTTGAATAGTACTCACCACTGCCTCAAGACGAGCCCTCCCGTTTGCGACCTTCGTCACAGTCCATCGCTGTTCGACGTATGCTAACTTATAGTTAGGGTCAAGAACTGTGACAAAATGAGACATGGACTTAAGCAAAAAAAAAAGATACTCACCTAGACAGAGCGACAATATCCAAGGAGATCTGTTAGAGTTGAGAACCGGTGGAGGATCATGACTATCCAGGAAGCATATAGACTAGAACAAGTAGATATCTGTGATATAGGTAAACATATGTCAGAGTCTTGAGAATAAATTGATTAGTACTTACCTTCAAAAAGGCTAACAGTAGCCTGATTAACAAATAATGCAAATCTCGAAGATGGTGTTTTGATGTCGACATGGACACCGACGTCGTCGTGGTTGGTGTCGAAGTCGAGGGAATTCGAAGGTCAAGGAACGGTTCGGGAAGGTTCGGGAAAGTCGAACCAGAACCGGACCACTAGTGAAGGTCCAGAACCCAGAACCGCTTTCCGGTCCGGTTCTGGCTGGTGAGGGAACCATGGACCGAACCACAGAGAACCGGACCAAAAGTCCGGTTCAAACCGTGGTTCTGGACCGGACCGCGGCAGCACTATATCCAACACTGACTCGATGAAGAGAGACGCTACCACTCTCGAGCTCGCCGGCACTACTATTTGATGGAAAAGTACCGGGCAGGAAGTGATATTAATTAAATACTCTTTATCTTTACCCCCTTTTTTCACTTTCATTATAATGTGCGTTCCCATATGACCTTGTGTGGGCCGACTAAGTATTTGATGTACTGTAGAGATACGACACTAGGTTCGTCACGTGCAGCCCGTGACGATGTCACGCTTAGTCTTACAGGTTCGAATGTCCAGGTGACCTGTGACCTTACCCAAATAGATTCGCCTGCGGATCGTAGTGCTTCGCCGCTCGCAACGCCGTTTGCAACCATCTGACATGCTGCTTCGTGATTCAAGCAACTTGCTTCAGTCTGTCATGGATTCGCCTCGCATAGCGCTGACTGGTAACGAGTGGAATTGGAGACTCTGTGGTCTTAAAGCCTGCCAGGTGAGTCTACTAGTATGATCCGTTTTCAAGCGCCCATCATGCCATCGCAAACTGATATGTTTGTTGCTTCAGAGTGGCTCTCATGTGGTCGTGTTTTTGACCAGAGCAAATTCGATGTATGATGATTTCTGGTCCCATTAGCGCATAACCTATGTTTTTTTTCCCATATGTCACAAATTAGCTTCGTCCCACCAAAAATTCATGTGACAGTCACACCAAATAGATTCGATTCGTTAAGGGCTGTGACCTGTGACGAACCTAGTGTCGTATCTCTACAGTATGTCAACCCGTCTGTCACGTGACAATGTAGCATCTCGCGCGATTGTTGGCTCCATCAAGAGATAGATCCACTTCAAGGCCAACGTTGGAACGGGCACAGACTGCAAGGGAACCCAGGCCAGACCTCTATGGCGGGAGGCTACGGCTCTGTCTATCGAGGACAGACTACGACATGCGCGACTACAATCCAGGACTCCTGCCACCGCGCCAGGACCCCTGCCACTCCCGTCATGTTCTGCCAGAGCGCCCCAACGTTAGACGAACAGATTCAAGCTGTGCAATGCATTCCATCTTCGTACAACCTCCCAATATTAACCATCAACAGCAATAGAGGCTTGTTTCGACAGCCTCTTGAACTCAAGCTGGTTAGTGGATCGTAAGCAAGACTAGGCACGGATGGTCATTTTTCGAGCAGTACAATTTTTAACCGTACTGATTGGCTACGAACTGGGCATTGCACTATCAACCATAATATCACACCGAAAGCAGAAACATGACTCACTGTCGCGACGTGCCACTCGGGCTGCCAGCTCAATTTTTCCCGCAGACCAACCTTCCTTGCTAAGGGGCGCAGGTGAGTCATGTGGTTGAATCCCTGCCACACAGCGTCCTGGTCATACTCACACCATTAACAATACAAGAAAAACCTAGGCAGCAAATGCTGCCTATGCAAGTTTCTCCCTCGGTCGCACATGCACTGACAGACATACTAGATGCTGTCAAAGCAACAACAACGGCGAGTAGTAAGAAGCGCATTTTATGTGCGAGATGATGAGATCTTCTGAGAGGAACTTCCTCTGAGGATGGGGGAACACTGTAAGACGACGACCAGCTTTTATATCCTTGATTCTCATCGATTTTGCAGAATTATTGTCGTCACATGGGAGAAATTTCAACAATTAACCATAGAACGCTCGCTGGAATCACCGGCCTTTCGTCCCGATCCCTCAGTCATTGCGATATGCACTCGGTCGATACCTCATGTCATTTCTCTCACCCTCACTCATTGTTCCCTTACTATCTAGTACCTGTAATTCGCCCACGTCACTAGTAGGCCAGTGACTCTACAACTGCTGTGTAGAGATAATGAGGTATCTTTTGGAAATTCTCATTGTTGGCATGCGCTTGGTCGAAGATCTCTGGTATAGTGGTCACGGACATAGCCATCACAGCTCGCTCTACAGTTTTAAACAGCACGAGTTATTCAAGTTGCTCGCTCTATAGTTTTACTAGACAATCACGACGATATCAAGTTATCCCATGGCAAACCTCGATGGCCCTATACTTCGGGCCTCGGAGACAAGAAACAACGTTGATGAAATCAACGACCATCAACCAACGTCGTTCCAAGTTCATCTTTCAATTGTCAACCGTCACTTGTACTCCATCCAACACTGACTCGATGAAAAGAGACGCTACCGCTCTCGAGCTCGCCGGCACTACCATTTGATGGAAATTACCGGGCAGGAAGTGATATTAATTAAATTAATACTCTTCATCTTTATTCACTTTCATCCTAACGTGCGTTCCTGTATGACCTTGTGTGGGCTTCGACTTATTTGATGTAGCAGAAAACGACCCGTCTGTCACGTGACGATGTAGCATCTCGCGATTGTTGGCTCCATCAAGAGATACTACTAGATCCATGAGCTAGTCTTCAAGACCAACGTTAGACGATCAGATTCAAGCTGTGTGCAATGCATTCCATCTTCGTACGACCTCCCAATATTAACCATAGAGGCTTGTTTCGACAGCCTCTTGAACTCAAGCTTAGTACTAGTGGACCGTGAGCAAGACTAGGCACGAATGATCATTTTTCGAGCAGTACAATTTTAAACTGTACTGACTTGCTACGAACTGGGTGTTGCACTATCAACCATGATATCATAGCGGAGAAAACAGAAACATGACTCACTGTCGCGACGTGCCACTCGGGCTGCCGGCTCAAATTTTCCCGCAGAACAATCTTCCTTGCTAAGGGGCGCAGGTGAGTCATGTGGTTGAATCCCTGCCACACAGCGACCTGGTCATACTCACACCATACATAATACAAGTAAAACCTTGGCAGCAAAGGCTGCTCATGCAAGTTTCTCCCTCGGTCGCACATGCACTGACAGACATACTAGATGCTGTCAAAGCGACGACAACGGCGAGTAGGGAGACACGCATTTTTATGTGCGAGGTGATATGGGATCTTCTGAGGGGGATCTCGAATGGTATCTCTGAGGATGAGGGAACACTGTAGGACGACGACCAGCTTTTATATCCTGCATATGCTTGATTCTCATCGATTTGGCAGAATTATTGTCGTCACATGAGAGAAATTTCGGAACCTGGGGTAGCGGAATCAAATAATAACGACCATTAAATCATAACCTGCCTGCAGACATCGACAATTATCTTCTTCGTGACCACATAATGCTTGCTGGAATCACCGGCCTCTCGTCCCGATCCCTTACTCATTGCTTCATTTGAACATGCACTGAACCTACCAGCGCAGCGACAACGTTGAACTCATATCAATGATATGTCCTCGGTCGTCATTTCTCTCTTCTCTCACTCGTTGTTCCCTTATCTAGTACCTGTAATTCGCCCACGTCACGAGTAGGCCAGTGACTCTACAACTGCTGTGCAGAGATAATGAGGTATCTTTTGGAAATTCTCATTGTTGGCATGCGCTTGGTCGAAGATCCCTGGAATAGTGGTCATAGTCATAGCCATCACAGCTCGCTCTACGGTTTTAGACAACCACGACGATATCAAGTTATTCTCGATGAAGAAAACCACTCCCCTTTAAATGTCAAGCACCACAACAGGCAGTAATATTAATATTAATATTAATCTTCTTTTTCACCTTTTCCACTTTCATCATAACGGACACCTCCGTATGACCTCGAGTGGGCTTTCACTATCCGGTGATAACACGTCTGTCACGAATCACGAAGTGGCGTCTCCTTGACTACATCACACATATCGAGAGAGATCCACGAGCTAGCCTTCGAAGCCGATGTTAAGAAGCCATCACCTCCGAATATTAATGACCGCTCGTTCCAAAAGTATCTCGAAAACCAGCTTCAAGTTAATAAAACACCAGATAGCTTAGTCATAACCAACAACCCGATTCTTGTTCTTGATCAGATATACAATTGGTATCCACGCTTCTCAGTCACTAGACGGGTATAAAATATGCGTACACAATAAACGCGCAGCCCAAGTGCACGCGGCGCATAGAGTAGCGTAAAGTACATCAATGACCAGCACCGGGATTGGTACAACGTGGGGGAGTGCAGTAATGAGCGTGTGTGCGTGTGGTGTAGGAATAAGTACGTGATGAGGTATGAAGACACGCGTGGTGTGCGAGGTATAAGCGTGTGTGCTGTGTCTACTATCTGAGACACGCAAGGATGCTGTTCTAGAAGTCTCTGTCTCTGTGACCAGCTTCAATTGGGTCGTTCCATCGAAAAAGCAAGAGGTCGACGCACCGATTCCAATCTAAACCCTACGATTCCTCCAACTCGAAATTAAGCGAATCCCGATCCGAGTCCATGACTCTTGCGTACTCGAGAAATAATCTGAGGGATAAGAATACGAACACGTCAACATCGCGCGCGAGATGGAGTGCCCTTTGCGCGCACCCACTCACCTATATAAATAAGCTACCATATCCTCCTTCCTCCAAAAGCTCAAACTCCACTCCCTCCCGCGCCTTGCAATCTTCTTTGCAAGGTCTTCATGCGCACCATGCCCGCTCGGGTCCCCGCGGAAGAAGAGGAGCGCGTCGTACAGGTCCGAGTAGTCGACTTGGATGGGGACGTAGTGCACCCAGGGGGCGATACGGTGGGTGAACCTTTTTAGGTAGGGATTGTTGATTTTGGATTAGATGAATGATTTTGTCGGGTGGAAGAGGGAGGAAAGGAAAACGCCGAGAAAAATTAAAACACGATAAGAAAGAAAAAAAAGGAAAGGAAACGCACCATTCAGGATATACCGTAGACTTGAACACAACCGAATTACTCGTCATGAGCCTCTTGAACCGACTCGACCAGCCATTCCCATCCACCTGCCAAAACCGTCAGTAAACTAACGCCTAGCAGTGCAATGAACAAATAAGACAAGACTTACATCAAGGACATACTTGTACTTCACAGCCTCCCTAAAGCCCATCCTCCGCCGCCACTCCCACCTTTCCTCCACCTCCTTACACACCTCGTCCTCACACTGACCCGGTTGACCAGCGAACGCTACATCCATCATCGCAGGGTTCACGATTGATTTTTTAAAGGTCTGCGTTATGGCACCGTCAGGGGATGAAGGATCGGTGACGAGGGCGTCTATGGTTTTTGGCTGCGCGGTGGAACGCTTCTCAAGGCCAGAGGAAGGAGGCGAAGAAGAAACAAGATCCATCAAGCGTCCCCTCTGCGAATCCTTCCAAGGCTTCTCCTTCCCATGATGAATCCCCGTATTCAGCCCCCTCCAAAGTAACCTCTCCTCATCCTTCTCCATCCACGCTTCTTCCAGGTCCCCTTCTTCCACACCCTCGACGTCATCTACCCAACTCAACATGATCGGGACCCTGATATCAGAATGCAATGGGCTACTGCAATAGCTGAACTGTGGGATTGGGAAGGGGTACGCGACGGGGCCGGGGCCATGGCTCAGGAACTGGCCGTGCTGGGCGAGATGGGAAGGATGGGCGCATGGGTCCATGGCGAGGAGGTGGTCGTGGATGAATGTTCTGGGTTTTGGTGTGTGTGGGGGTGGGGAGGGGGGTGGATTGCGTGCGATGCTGTTCAAGGGGCAGGCGTGCATCCAGCCACGGATGTATGGGGGTGGGTCCTGAGTTTGGAAGTCGAGTGCTGTTCGGGTGCGTGTGAGAATCGGATATGGTAGGTTGGTAGGGAGGGAGCAACGTACATTTCCCCTTTTCCCCAGCCTCGACAACCTTTCTCCTCATGTCATGGGTGAGAAAGACATTTGGGTTGTCATGGGGGCTGAACACAGCTCTAAACAACGGCAACTCGTCTTCGACCTCCTTGATCAAGTCTAGGAGCTGATTGGCGGCTACTAATAAGTTTTTGCGAGTGTCTTCGTCTGCGGGGAGTGACTCGTTTCCGAAGTGGACAGGACCTGAGGGTGTTGACTTGGCGATGGTGTAGCTGTGGTGGTGACTTTCGTGAGCGAGCTGGATTTCTTGGAGACGTGCAGGGTTTATACCCCAGAAAGGAGCGAGGTCGGTGTTGATCTGGTCGTACTCGTCTGGGAGCTGGACGTTGTGCTTTTGGACGTATGCCCACCTGTTGGGGTTTAGAGGAGGGTCTGAAAGGACGCGAGTAACGTACCATCTATCGAAGCCGGGTGGAGGTGCTCTCGAGTATCTGAGGTGGTACTCACGAACTGCTTCAGGAAGCGTTTTACTAGCGCGTGTGAGTTTTGCATTCCATTCTTTTTCTGCGTGTTCGATGAGGTCTAGGATGGGGTGCCTACCACCTGGGTGTACTTGGAGGAGACCGTCTGGACGGAAAGTGTGGGAGGGGCGTTGTGGTGGTGGTTCGGGGTATAGGGTATCAGAGTCTAGATCCCATGGTGATCCTGCAGGTGCAGTGGGAGGGCGGTGTGCTTGATATACTCGAGGGAGGTATACACTAAAATTTGTAGGAAGGTTAGTGCTAACCACTGAATGACTTGGTGTTAGAGTGAATACTACGAAACTGGAAGCAAAGATGACCAGAAATACATAAGCTCTGAGTGATCTGCGAGTTATTCGGAATGGGGACATTGAGGACCATTAAAACGCACTCATGTTGCATGTCCTTTAAGAACTCGGAACATTCGGAACTTAATCAATTCATCCTAGCGTCCCCGTCAGGGTGATAAGCAGGCTTCACTTCAAATTAACTCGGATACTATAGCAGTCTAGGCACTGCAGCTTCTTATAACGCCGCCGCCATCACACGCGCGCCCGGTCACCGACAATGTCGTAATTCGACTGGACACGGGAAAGGGAAAGGGAAAAAAAAAAGTTGACATGATCGATCGTAGCGCAAGACAAAACAGTTGACCTGCAGGGTCAAGGTACGCCATTAAAAACCCTTCAAATCTTACGAAGAAGTTAAAACTTCCTCGTAGTGAAGCAGGTACAGTGGGTACGTACTCCGTAATTGTCGTGGTCGCAAAAGAAGCTTCTCACCACCATGCGAGCGCATCCGAGTTTGTACCGACCAGAGACTTGAGTTGAACATATATAACAACTTCGGAGGATGAGTTACTTTACCTTTGGCACCATATGTCTCGCTGAGATCTTGTCCTAGCTTCGTACATGCTTGAATCGAGGAATCAATTCTCTTCCGAGTCTTCAGTGCAACAGCTGTCCATGGGTGACATGTGAGGCCTGACACTCTTATTTGACTGGGTCTCAGGCCGGAGACCCAGTCAAATAAGAGTCTGCGATCGCGACAGATGCGGCTGCAGGCGTGTTCAGATTCATAAATATATGTTCGCATCGCCGATGTGTCCATATGCCATGATCATATACATAGAACCTTTCTGACCAGCACGGTCTTTCAACTATATAGTCCCCGGTCCATTCCGTGCGCACCTTCAACTTGGAACTACCCCTTCCACTCTAATTGTTCAACTAGCAACTCATCGTTATCACTGAATATGACGGCCAGATAGTTCAATATTTGGCCTCTATTGCTATGACCAGGGCTGGCACTAGTATTACTCAATCATTAATCTGCGACCTGAATCTGAGTCGCACAGTTTACACGACATCAGACACACACACCAAACTAAAAAAAGTCGACTTGGTCGACGCAAGTCGAAATCTGTTCTGATCAAGCCATATCTGGTATAGCTCAGCTCGACGATGCTCGGTTTACGGAGATATCTTAGACTGTTACATCAATGGCGTTTCCCCGCATCGCCATCGCCGTAAGCTCACCGTAAGTTCCAAACTTCTATCTGAGAAGCAAAGAATCTTTTGTTGATAGCAGACCATACCTGACTCGGGATTCCAGGTATCAATATCCAATTGCAATGTACGTAGGTGCGATCACGCTGATAACGAAGAATAACGGACTCCTCATACCCTGAGCGTGTAGCACCATCTTGATCACCGTTGGGGATCAAATCTCCTGACCTCTTCGATGTCTCGTAAGACATACATATAGGCGGGCAGCGAGTCTGAACAGATCGTTATCGTCTCATATGCTGAAGTCTTGCTAAGAACATAACAATAGAAACATTCATACAACAAGGAAGACATGAAAATGATAAAGTCAATGAACAAGAAGTAGCTCACGGCAAGTATTTCTTCTCCAGAGTCACAGCCTGTTTAATGTCCTGAGTATGAACAAAAAGCGGGTTTGAATGATGTCGTTATTGGCGGGCGCCAGAAAGAAAAGGAGAAAAAGTCCATGGAGCGCATATAATCAATGAACATCTGATAAAAGTGACACAAGCCGGCAACAAAGACGAAGAGAAATCCTGTCTGCATGATACTTTCAGCAAGAAAAAACATCAGGCAGAAAGTAATCCTCTTCATCAAACGAGCGACAGTTAGACACATTGGCGAGGAGGAGCGTAGACACCACCAATGAACTGTCCTCGTCTTCATGTCCTGGTACGGCAGGACAACGGGGGAAGAGTGATGATTATCATGTGGTGTCTAAAAGAAAATCTCAGTGGGTTTTGACCGAGCCCATCAGAGGTTCTACTACATATCAACGAGAAGGAGCTCACCGCGCAGTTCCTTCATTATTATTATTCCAGAGCGGGCTATTCGAAAAAAGAAAAAAAGTGAGCGAAGAGAATCGCTTCCAAATTCCAAAGAAAGGATCTGGAGATAGAATATTCCCTTCTTGATGATCGTGAGGAGCGTTCCAGCCTGCGATGGGTCGTTTGTATTAACTGTACAGTTCTCGGTCCATTCCGGTCAACCTCGCGCGCTGACCAAGCCTTTGCACTCGAAGGTCTCCTACCACCGCCGAACGTTTGCTATCTTTGGGTGGTGGGTGCTATTTCATGTCCATGAACCAGCCATCGCTTACTCGATGATCCACAATCTCAAGATCCTCCATACATAAATCCGAGTCTTTCATACGACACACGCAGCAAGCCGCCCCGTCATGATCACGAAGTTTTTGATAATCGATTATGTTATAAACCACCCTGCAGCTGGAATCCATAGGCTTGAATCTTTACCCGTTGTATGTGCAACATTCTACTAGCTCTGAGGCTTGCATATAGAACGAGTAAAGAAACAGAATTCCTATCATGATGTATACTTTCTTCAAACGAGACAGCACCGAGCGGAGAATCAAAACAATTCTCTTCATTACTATCAACGCAAGGAATACCGTATCGGGAAGAACGTTCCTTGATGAAACAAAGGCTTCAAAGAAGGTTATCATGGGGCACAGGGCCCCGGGGCACGCAGGCTTGGCGCTCAGCGACCCCATTCGTCTCTGATAATAGTATACCAGTGGCTGCCGCAGGTCAAAACCACCGTATTGACCCCACACGGACAGGGTCGAATGGGATTTTACAGAACATATGCTGCTTTTGCCATGCGGTAAATCACGCCCGCGAGAACGGCAAGAATACGGTTATGACCGTGACTCCTGACTTAGGAAGCAGTCGGAGGTTGTGCCACGTAAATACTGATAAGAAAGAATATGATTTTTTTTAACTACAAGCAAGCGCATGGTCATGATGGCCTCCTGGGTATGTCAAGCTGTTCAGGCACTCCAGGGGAGTCACGAGAAAAGACATGCCAGGAACTTGGAGTGAACGCTGGAGGAAGTGGTCATTGGTGTTGATGAAAAAACCATGATGCTGCTTAGATCTGCTTTTCGATTCTTGAAGGTTCGATATCACTGGCCAATCATGATGCACTCGTTGAATTTCACACCCTTCACCTCCTCGCTCCATGGCAGTGCCCAGTTCACGATTTTGCGGGCTCGTTATGTTTCCTCGATCTTCACACAACAGCAATGATGTCAATCTAGCCTTGTCGTCCACCAGAGTTTTCATGCCGAAGTTCGAGACGTTGAATGGCAAAAGTATTGGAAAGGCGTACAAAGAACGAGCGTGTGTTGAGTTTTCATTTATGTCTAACAGAACTATAGTTAAAATAAGTTACGGGTCCGTATTATCCCACAGTTCTAGATGATCCACACAAGACGCTGTTTGGATCCGTTGAGCAAAGACCGTCCTCGGGACAACCGGCAGGTTTTCAATGACATCCCCCAATTCGTTCGCTGCTCGTAGGTTGAATAGAATGCGTGAGGCGAGAACACTGCGCATGACTGTCTGTGGGCTTTTCGGATTCAGCATTGAATATGAAATCAACTCCGATGGGATTTACCCTGGCCCATAGAAACCGCGAACAAATGATAACTGGACAGCCTGGTCAAAAACTTATCTCGAGGCTGAAGGCAAGCTACTCACAGGATGCATAAGCATGGCGACCCAGTTCAACATCGAAAACACTGCAAATGAATACTGTGATCTTGACAAGAATCTGTAAAAGACTCACGAGTAATGCACAACATGTAAAATACACCATCCCGATATATAGTAGTAACCAACTGACCATTCTCCGTTCGGTGAAGTTTGAAGCGTTTGTAGAGTGTCAGGAACATTAACACTAGCAGAGGGTCGTGAGCGCTAAGCAGAATCATAGAGACGCTACGTACCAAGCTGAAAGATTGTGTGCAAACCATAAATGATGCTTTGTTGTCCTTCCCATGCGCCACACCGAGGATCTGGAATATGGAGTGAGCAGAAGGCAAATATGGAAAGGAAATACAGTCTGACTTCCGGATTGATTCGCGACAATAATTATAACTGTTAGCATAGCTGCCATTGTGGCCTAAAATGATGTGTGATCTTTGAGCAACAAGAAAATGGCCAGGACGAAGAACCAAGGTCACCATGCCAAATGATGATATTGCGATCAGAATCCTCTTTTCGCCACCACAAAACACATATGTCCTTGCCACAAGCAGCACTGGAAAAGAAGTTATAAGGGTAAAGCGACTTGACTTAGGGCTGATACTGACCGTCAGCAGCAGCAGAACCTAAGGTGGTGATGGCTAGCAAAAAACATTGAGCGTCCAGAGCTTTGAAGTGAGGTTATTGAATACGCAACTGCCATCTACGACAATGAACATTCCAGGATTAGGCTGAAATATTGTTAGGTACTTAAATTCTGTCACAGAAACTCAAGCTTACAATTCCTCTTTGAAGTGACTGGACGTTGTCTATCGCAGGGACTTGTCAATAAAGAGTGAGAAGTAGACGGACGATCCTGAGCACTCACAATATAGGTACATAGCAACACTTGCAATCGGCAGATAGCGAGAAATGACAAAGGCTATCCTCATGATCTCCCATTTTCTCCCCCATGTCCAGCGAACCTGATATTATGTTAGTGTTTTCATGTGGCTGTCGAACAGCACCAACCTCCGAGTCGAAAGTAATGCAGAAGTCGAACAGCTGGAAAAGAATTTGGTCATTGTTCGACCATGTTATTCGTTGCTCCATACCAAAACCACTGTCGACACAACTGTCATAGAAATTCAGTTGTGCGGGACAATCCAACAACCCAACGAGCATAGACTACCTTCGATATACTGAATTCGAATTCGAAAATAAAGGATTGCAAGTGAAATAGGGTACGCACTGCCATAGTTTGACGTCCATTGAGATCCGCACACTGACCCATCTTGAACGAACGAACTTGAAACAATGACCGTCTTCCTTTTATGTTGTCCGCTGAAGATAGTAGAGCTATGTGAGCGAGTATCGTATAGGCACATACTCCATCAGATGTACTGACAGGCTTACTATACTTACCTCATATGCAGCCTGAGTATATGGTAATTTCATCATCATCAAACGTTCCCAACTTGGCAGAATGACATCTGTACCCCTGAGCTCATTGTCCTCAGAACCGCTGTGGTTGATAACGAGAACGGGGGTAATCAGGGTTGATGAACCCCGCTTTTCCAGAGACTTCAGAGCCTGTGATCCACATCGATTCAACACAGAGCCACGTAAGTCCATATACTAATCAGTAAGATGGTTGGCACAGCGGGCCCGACAAAGAAATAGAGAAAGTTGGAGCAGTACAGCCTCATTGAAAGCCTGTCTCTCACGTGGCCTGGATCACGATTTTGAAACCTTATGAAAGAACGGCAAAAATGGGTAAAATAATTTCGAATGTTCGTCGTGATCAGTATGTTACGCGTAAGGCAGTTGCTGCTGACAGGCGAGGGAACAAATGAATCATTGGAAACGAGCGACTAGATAACTTGCGCCTGGTAAGTACGGTCGTCAATACAAAATCACATGCATGCACAATTTTCACACACCTCAATATTATTATTGTCTCATGTGGTCAGTGCCGTTGAACAATGTTAATGAGCAACGATCCTGCAGGGGATGCGGGCAATCAGAAAAGCGATGCAGTTCTTTACGTTGATCATTACGTCGGAATGAGGAGTGCCTCGTAACTCAAGAACGTAATGACAAAACGCTCGAAAACCTCGTCAGCTGTAAATTTGCCACGGACTACCCAGCAGGTAAGTTGGAGTTTCGAAACAAGCCTGGCACGATCGATCAAAATATGAAAGCAATGAACATCAACAATACAAAGCACAAACGATCTAAACAATACGAACATGGTATCTCCAACTCGATCCATGTGTCCAATGCAATGGCATTGAAGACAGCCACTGTCGATATTGCAGAATGCGCGTGCATGAGTGGGATCGAGCCGTAGAGAGAAGTTGACGAGTCTGAGAGATATTTAAAGACGTCTGCGTAGTAAAGACGAAAGAGGTTTGTGTATCTTATGGTAGAACCTGTTGCGCTTGGGAGGGAGAGGTACGCGGCGGTTTGGGATCCTGTAGTAGATGTGGGCGTAGTTGGTGAAGGTTATGTTGAGGGAGAAAGATTTGGGCCTGTGGGCATTGGTTGTCGCAGGCTCAGGAGTGATTCTCTTCATCGAGTGAGTGTTGGATGAGGTACAAGGGACACGGACACGGTTGACGAGGAAGAGGAACTCCGAAGAACGCTGTACCTTGATAGTAGTGGCTGGCCAGCCGCGGTCGCCTTTCGTTAACACTATTACTTGTTTCCGAGGGAGTACAGAGTCGTCTGCGTATGCCATGGTTGAACTTGATATCTCGTGATTATCGGATGGGGAAAAAAACTTTGAAGAGAGCTGTGTATGATGGACAGAGATCGAAACGAGAAAACAGGAATTTCAAGCGAGGGTTTAAGTTAGAGGTTGGGGGTCATAGAATGCAACAGTTGTTCTTTATCATCAGCATCAGCATCGGAAGTATCAACGAGATTCATGAGAATGAGTAGTAATTTCTCAACTTGCTCACTGCGGGTTCAAATGATGAAGTGATGTATGAGAGAATGTGTTATAATCCGATATTCGGAATCAAGTGAACACGCTCCTGCGGGTTCTACCGCCATCTGACAGCAATAACAATTCTGCCAAATCGATTAGAATCGTGGTATATGCAGAATATAAAAACTGGCCGTCGTCCTATAGTGTTTCCTCATTCACGGAAATATCATTCGAGATCCCCCTCAGAAGATTCCATACCACCTCGCATAGAAAATGTGTTTCTCCCTCCTCGCTGTTGTTGTTACTCTGACAGCATCTATGTCTGTCAGTGCATGTAACCCCTCATCATGGCCTTGCACAGTAGATACAGATTGCTGCGATATCTTGGCTTGTATAGGTATAAATAGCGTGAGTACTACGAGCAAGTCGTTGTGCAAACCAGGATTCAACCATATGATTCACCTGCGCGCTCTAGAGTGGAACGGGTCTTGTGTGCAAATAAAGCTGGCAGCCCGAGCGACGCGTCGCGACAGTGAGTCATATTTCTGCTTTCGCTTTGGTATCATGGCTGATGGTGCAACACCTAGTGTGGAGTCAATCAGTACAATTTTTTTTTGTACTGCTCAAGCAATGTGGATGTTTGAACTTATCTGAAAATGATCGACCGTGCCTAGTCTCACTCGTGGTCCACTGGTACTAAGCTTGAGGATTACTGTGATGGTAGTTGTTGATATAGTCGTTGGACCGCACAAAAATTTATTGTGGATCGGCACGTGCTTTCGACGCTCACTCATCTACTGTATTCGGTCGCACTTTTCCCTGGCAGACGACCCTGTACCCTGTACTTCCTTGGAGCCGATGAACAGTATTGACGAAACTACTATCAAGGTCACGGTACCATCGCTCTTGCAAGTTCCTCTTCCTCGTCTGCCGTGTCTTTGTCGCTTGCACCTCATCCAACACTTGCTCGATTCTGGAGAGGATCACTTTCGAGCTCCCCACGATGGAAAGTACGGAATAGGCAGTAATACTATCAATCCTCTTTATCTTTACCTTTGTCGCCCACTATTTTACTTTCATCATAACGCGCGCTCCCATATGACTTTGGGCTTCAACTACATACCAGAAAATAACATGTCAGCCACGAATCACGACCGGCAACGAACTTGTGACGTCTCGTTGGCTCCATCACACGCGTCGAGAGAGATCCGTTAGCCAACCTTCGAGCCAACGTTAGGCGAACAGGTTCAAGGTTGCGAGGAAATGTCTGAGACTCTGCGCAGTGCGTTCTGTCTTCGTTCGACCTGCCAATATTAATCATCAACAGTAATGATTGCTCACTTCTACAGCCTCGAACTTAAGCTTAGTGGACTATGAGGAAAACCGGGCACGATTGATCATTTTCAGATAAGTTCAAACATCTATTGCTTGAGCAGCACAAAAATTTGTTCGAGAACCACTGTATGATTGGCTCCTAACTAGGTCTTGCACTGTTAACTAAGATACCAAAGCGAAAGCAGAAACATGACTCACTGTCGCGACATGCCGCTCAGGCTGCTGGCTCAACTTTATTGAAATGTGCAGGTTGGGACTCCCAAATCCTAAGGCGCGCAGGTGAGTCATGTGGTTGAATCCTGGTTGCATAGCGACCTGCTCATACTCACATCAGGTTGGCAAAGATAGTCCTTGCAGCAATCTGCAGTTGTTGTACAATCTAATGTACTACATGCACTGACAGACATAGATGTTGTCAAAGCAACAAAAACAGCGAGGACAGAGAAACGCATTTGTGTACGAGGTGATATGGAATCTTCTTCTGAGGATCTCGAATGATATCTCCGAGGATGGGGGAACACTATAGGACGACGACTAGCTTTTATATCCTGCATGTGATTATGGGCACGACTCTGATCGATTTGGCAGAATCTCCAGATGGCAAAAATTTGGGCTGCTGGGATTCATATCGTGTGTGAGGTATAGTCCATACTATGTGAATTATACCGCATAAATTACTGATTTGAAGCGTCTTTGAATCCATCTCTTCACAGTCTCCAGTCTTTGCAAATCGGAAATACAATTTCTCCACTTAAGCTATTTGCGTGTCGCCAGTTAAGAATAATTGTTTCATTCTATGACCTGGCATAGCCTGGCATCCGCTACTTCATTTCTGCCGGCTGTGTTTGCCGCGGACGTGGCACGGCTGTTGCACTACTTCGCTAAAGATGATTGATATTTGTACTCAGTTTGCACTTATGGCTAGCTTCGCTGATTGAATTGAGACTGAAGGCGGCCCGAGTCATGTCACTGATGCGGCCTTTATAAGACTTACACAACACCGGCACGGTGAAGCTTGATGTGGAACGATACAGCGGGTGGATGGGACGCACACGACATGGGCGAGACTTGACGCGTAATTAATGGTGGTGTGTGTCACAGCATCCGGATAGTTAACGCTCGCTGAATCACCGTCAGTGCGATCAAAGCCGAGTAAATATAACGCACGCTCCGTGACCTTGGGCTTTGATTGCCCGGGCCCCACCAGAACATAACACATCTGCCACGGATTGGGAATCACGATCGGCAACGAATTGGCGTCTCGTTGTCCCCACACCAGAGAGAGAGATAGATTCACGAGCTATCCTTTGATACCAACGTTAGACAAACAGATTCGAGATTGTCTGCGCAATGTAATCATCAACAGCAATGATCGCTCGTTTCGACAGCCTCTCGAACTCAAGCTTAGTGGGCCGTGAGCAAGACTAGGGACGGTCGATCATTGTCAGATAAGTTCAAATATCCGCATTGCTCGAGTAGCATGAAAATTTGTCCAAAACAACTGTACTGATTGAATCCGAACTAGGTGTTGCACCATCAACCATGATGCTGCCAAAGCGAAAGCAGCAACACGGCTCACTGTACTGTTGCGACGTGCTGCTCGGGCTGCCAGCTCAATTTTCAACCTACTGGCAGTACATACCATCTATCTAAGGTGCGCAGGTGAGTCATGCGGTTGATTCCTGATGACACAGCGACCTGCTCAGACTCACCTTATTTCCTACACAAGTCCAGGTTGGGCAGCAATCTGCAGTTGTGTTGCAAAGTACCATGCTACATGCACTGACAGAAATGGATGCTGTCAAAGCAACAACGACGGCCAGGAAAGAGAAACGCATTTTATGTGCCGAGGGGGATCTCGAATGGTATCTCGGAGGATATGGGAATAATATAGGATGACAGCTGGCTTTTATATCGTGCACATACTTGTGGGCACGATTTAGCAGAATTTGAAATTGTTGACAGATAGCAGAAATTTCTGCAGGAGTGTGTTGAATTGATTACTCACAACCTAGAATCCTATTGTGTTAGCGGGGCACCGTAGTTCATAATCTAAGCGCTAAGTTCTAAGGCCTGGGATACATTTCGCCTTCCGATTTCTCCCGTGAAACAGAGACACTTTGCTGGATTACTGACTTCAAGCTTCAACCGTCTCATTGCAACGCCCCAGTCTTCGTAATTTCCCTTATGCTATTTGCGTGCTGCTACATAGTAAAGAACAACTATTCTAAGCGAACCGGTGACTGTCGACCATTCTCGTACCACTGCTCGTCACCTACCCCATCAACGATTTCTTTCCCATCATCGCGCAACCACCTCCCAGCCTCAAATCGCGAAGGAGTACATGTCGTGGAGTAGATGGAAAGACGACAAAAGTGAGACACACCACCAACCTTTGAAGGAATTGTGTCGCTCATGCTTGGTATGAGCAATGCTTGTAACCTATCATGATCATCCAGTGTGTCTACAGCGCCTGCAGTTCGAACAGTACGTTTTCTACAGTATTATCATGTTCAAATTGGACCTCAGAAGCTCATCTTAGTTGTGTGCTGTCCAATGTTAGCGCGTATGGCCAGGTCAGCACCTCTTCGATATTGAAATTGCCAGCACGAGGACTGTCAATTTATCGATCCCGTCGCCGACTCTCTCTGTACATTGAGTGAACGAAAAAAGAGGGTGAAAAAGTGGACTTTGGATCTGATCAAACTGCTCGTCTTGTAGCTAACACGCCTTTGATCTATCGCTGGCAGGCCCGACCCATGGTGCTTTGTTTACTCCAAACCAGATACCTCGTACACCCATATCATGTACTCCTTCCACTCAATATCGCCTCTATTTGTTTCTCGATCAGCAGCGCCTTACAAACTGTTCAATCAGCACCAAAGGCAAAGTGGAAACACTCACTAGTGTATCGCTGCGTGCAAATCGGCTTGCAAGGGTGGGATACTAGGTGATGCATATACCACCAGCGCAAAGAGCGAATTTATCGCAGCAGTCACTAACGGCTTCGCAAGGTTGGCTACAGATTGGTCCCCTTACTGCGACACACATTGTAGATGACGTCAACGCAACGATAAATGTGAGGAAGAAGAAACGCATTGTTCGTTTGAGGTGATATGATCTGCTGAGGGCTCGAATAATGTCTTTGAGGTGGGTGGACGCTAATGTAGCGGCTAGCCATTGACGCGCCCGCCTCGTCTGTGATGCACTCGTGACGTAGCTGTGACGAGGCCGTGGTGTTATATTCACGCCAAGACCACACAGTACGCAGAAACCTCATACACCCATATCATGTAAGTACTCCTTTCACCCAATATCGCCTCTATTCATTTCTCAATCAACAGCGTTCTAAATATTGCTCAACAACAGTGCCAATATGAATGCGGAAACACTCACTAGTGTGTCGCTATGTGAAAATCGAAATTGGAGGGGGCTCGTCGATAGGCACGCACACGCCACCATCACATTCGTCATTGCTGTCGCAACAGTCACTAGTATATTGGCATTGATCCTCAGTTAGGCTACAGGTTGGTCGCCTTGCTGTGACAGACAATAGAGATGCTGTCAACGCAACAATAAAGATGAGGAAGAAGAAGCGCATTGTTTGTTTGAGGTGGTATGGTTGAGGTGCTCGAATGATTTCTTTGAGGTGGGTGGATGCTGGTGACGATAGCAAAATGACTTGCTTTTATATTATCACGAAAAGGTTTTGCAAAATGGTTATGCTTGGCGGATGATACGGTGGCAGAATCTATCCCTTCCGGTCATCTCGTGGGTCCTGCCTTAGTCGTGATGCACCGGTGACGCGGCTATGACGAGGCAAGAAATGCTACGTCAAAGCTGCTGATAGCTGGCCTACATTAATTCCTGACTCCATCCCAGTGTTGTTGGCAGAACTCCAGGGTATCTAAGACTTGAATGTAATTGAGATCTTTTGACACAGTTTGAATGCCACGTCGAACCAGATAAATTGATGATTTATCTGTTGCGATACCAGACGTTGATGGTTTGTGCTGATATGATTTTATATCTGAAGGTCAGGCTATATCGACTCGAAGCCAGATAAGTTGACACAGGTCTTGACTGTCTTGTGAGCTCCAACTAGACGGTTAAACGAGACTCACAGAAAAAAGTATGAGCAACTGCATGTCTTCAATCTCAATTGTCGAGTGGATGAATAAAAGCGGTGAAAACATGAACTTTTGACCCAATCAAACTGCGCGTCTTTTATCGCTGGCCAGTGTGACAATATTCTAAAAACACTGTTTACACATAATTATCGATAATTAGTCTGATTATATCTGCGCGGCTGATGCAGCCTCGTTATTATGGTGGACAATAGGTTACGGTTCGATTTGCCGATTTGCCGCCACTTATTTGGAAGTCCGATCGATGTTTGTTCTCGTGGTGCGAGTGTTATATGTACCGCATAGAGGCTCGTGCTCAAGCGCTCACTCATAATATCGTCCGTTGCTGCTGACATGCTCTCGCAAACCCTCGCTGGTGTTCCCACTTTTTTGCGCGTCCTTTCAGCAGTTTATTATATCGTTTCTACTATGAAATACACTGATCTACTTCTCACCCCACTATGTGCCAAGTGAATGGTACGACTCAGCGATAAAAGTACAGAGTAGCAAGCCTCACAGGATGCGCAATGTTCCCTTCAGACTTGGCGTGCTACTTTAGCTGATGACTGACCTTGACGTTGCTCACTTCTTTAGCATGTACAGACTCTCCTGCTAACATTCTCAAGTCGGCCATCGTTCTCAGCGCTTTGTATAATCACATGTCTATCGTGCCAAACATACAAATGTTATGGAAATACACGCGCGACAAGACCTGGACTACTCGCCTCTTCTCCAACCCCCGTCTTTTCATACTCCTGACTCATCACTGCACCTACCACTAGGCACGTCCTTGATCCTCGTTTTTCTTCATCGCACCAGCATGTCTGATGACTCAAAGGTGAGTCACTGCATATCACCATACCCATTTCGTGATCCTTATGCTCAACTCGGATATACAGTCATCAGCGCAAAAAAATATGAATGTCCCCTCCTCGCGTACGCCCGCTGGCATTTACCTATGCGTCAGTGTTGACTCGAGAAGACGCTGAGATCAGCCATTCGAGTCTTATCATCCCACGAATATCTCACTAGGGTAGGACGAGACCATGTCCTTGTGATGTCCACGGGTACTTTCGGATGCATCCGTTTCAGCACCGAGGGCCAATCCACAAACGCGGCGTTCTGACCAAGGTCTTCGTGCTAGATGATCTTGGAGCCCTACATTCTGAAGTCAGTAGAATCAGCTATTCGTGTCTCGGCGCTAATTTTTCTTGTAGGTCCAATGGACCTGGGGACGGAAGTGGGGAATTATTCGCATTACCTCCACACTTTCACGATATGCACCTTTTTCTGGTGCATTGATGTCCTCGTATTGTGAGAGGCTGTGTGCACTACAATGCAAAGCTGTTTATTAACCAGCCGCTGTGAAGACATGGGGCACCCAAGATGTGAGCACACTCTTTATCAGCGCAGTATCAACCACAACCGGAAGTATCGGCGAGATCATTTCGCACAGAAAATGCGTTTCTCCAGCCTCGCCGTACTTGCTGCTCTGACAGCGTCAGTGCGTGTAGCAAAGGGCTTTGCACATCAAATTCAGATTGCTGTAAAGGCATGGAATGTAGAGATGCTAATGGCGTGAGTATGAGCCGGTCGCTGGGCAACCAGGATTCAACCATGACTCACCTGCGCCTTAGGATGGAGTGATGATCTGCGTGTGGGACTAGCCTAGCCGGCAGCCTGGCACGTCGCGACAGTGGGCCATATTTCTGCTTTCGCTTTGGTATCATGGCTGATGCCAGTGCAACACCTAGTGGCGCCGCCCCGTGTATCGTGACGGAGATGTCGATTGCAGTGGTCCATGGAAGAGATAGTAGCGTAGTCAGCCAATTAACATCGTTGACCGGTCAAACCATAATGTCAGAACCGGCTTTAGCTGGAGCTCCGGCAACACTTGAACTTTCGAGAGCCCCTCGAACTCAACTTGAAGCTCAGTGAACCACGAGTAAGACTAGGCATAATCGATCATTTTTCAGATAAGTTCAAACATCCACATCTCTCAAGCAATACGAAAACTTGTCCCAAAACAACTATACTGATTGACTGCGAACTAGGCATTACACTGTCAACCATGGTACCAAAGCGAAAGCAGAAGCATAGCTTACTGTCCCCGCATGCCCTTCGTACTGCCGGCTCAATTTTGAACCGCCAGGCAGGCCATAACTCCATTCTAAGGCGCGCAGGTGAGTCATGCGGTCGAATCCTGGTTGCACAGCGACCTGCTCATACTACTCACGTCAAGTCCACAAACCATGTTTGTGCAGCAATCTGCACTTGTTTTGCAATATGTGTTACACTGTGCACTGACATGCATAGATGCTGTCAAAGCAGCAGCAATGGCGACGAAGGAGAAACGCATTTTTTGTGCGAGGTGATATGGAATCTTCTGAGGGGATTTTGAATAGTATCTCTGAGGATGGAGGAACACTGTAGGACGACGGCCAGCTTTTATATCTTGCATATACTTATGGGCACGATTCTGATCAATCTGGCAGAATTGTTATTGCTCAGGTCAGACGGCAGAAATTTCGGTAGAACCTGCAGGAGCGTGTTCAATTACGACCTTTGGCCTTACTTCTATCGGCTGTTACAAACTTGGGATTATAGCGACGCGTTTAGTACCCAAAAGAGTAGAGCTATACAACGTCAGTTGTCCAACACATTCGAGGTGAAGCTTTGAAAGTCACCTGGACACTAGAATCGTTAGTGTAGTAGTTCATGATAGTGAGTTCTCTCGCATAAATCACTCATTTGAACCGTCCCTGGCAGTACTCCACTCTTTGCAATTCAGAAATCCAATTTTCTATTTGCGTGCTGCTACTAGTCTTGAAAGAACAACCGGTTTATTCTGCGACCTGGCGTCCACTGCCTCACTCATTTCGGCCGACCGTGCCTGCCGCGGATGTGACATGACTTGCAATACTAACTTCACTAAAGATTAATTAATATTGATCTTTGTACTCAGTTTGCACTGCTAGCTAGCTTCGCTGATTGAGACTTAAGGCCACTCAAGGCCGTGTCACTGACGCGGCGATGGTAAGGTTTATGCGACACCGGCACGACGATATAGGGGATACTTGACGCGCAAACGATGGTGGGTTGTGTCTGTAGCTAGTATTGTGAAACGTTCCCAATGATAATATTGATGTTACCTCGTTCCAACCATCATGCATCATGCATCATGCTTGTGACTGTAATTAGACAACCTCAATCTGATCTAGAATGGCCTGTGGTATTATTCCTTGTTTAACCTGATCAAACTCATCGAAATCCAAAGTATTATTTCGAGCGTTTTGACTTCACCAATGCATTGAACTTCTTCAGTCCAACTCATCGGGAGCCAGAAATTTGGCAGCAACGACGTCAGGAGAGACACTACTCTCTGGACCAAAAAGAAGGACATCCACATCACGAAGGCAATGTTTGCTGCTATGTTGACTTCAGGCGCTAAGCATTGGGTGGGCGCCACAGAACTCCGGGACTCGGAAACAATGAATCGAAGATCAAATTTGCTGATCAGGCTATATATAGCCAAATACATGGTGCTAGGCGCTGAGCGCTGAGCTCTACTTAAGGCCTGGGATACATTTCGCCTTCCGATTTCCCCGTGAAACAGTTTGCTTGAATGTGAGGAATTATTGACTTCCACCGTCTCCATGAGATATCTGATTCCGTCTCTTTGCAACGGTCTTTGTAATTTTCAATTTTCTCCCCTCATGCTATTTGCGTGCTGCTACATAGTAAATAACAACTATTCTAAGCGAACCGGTGACCATTCCCGTCCCACTGTTCGTCACCTACCCCATCAACGATTTCTTTCGCATCATTGCGCAACCACCTCCCAGGCTCAAATCACGAAGGAGTAGATGTCATGGAGTAGATGGAAAAACGAGAAAAGCGAACACACACCACCAACTCTTGAATGAATTGAGTCGCTCATGCTTGGTATGAAAAATGCTTATAACCCATAATCCCATCATGATCATTAGTGAGTCTGCAGCGCCTGCAGTTCGAACAGTACATTTTCTACAGTATTATCATGTTCAAATTGGACCTCAGAAGCTCATCTTAGCTGTGAGCTATCCAATGTTAGCGTGTATGGCCAGGTCAGCACCTCTTCGATATTGAAATTACCAGCACGAGGACTGTCACTTTATCGATCCCGTCGCCGACTCTCACTGGACGTTGAGTGAACGAAAAAAGAGGGTGAAAAAGTGGACTTTGGATCTGATCAAACTGCTCGTCTTGTAGCTAACATGCCTTTAATCTATCGCTGGCAGGTCCGACCCATGGTACACTGTTTATTCCAAACCAGATACCTCGTACACTCATATCATGTCTTCCTTCCACTCAATATCGCCTCTATTTGTTTCTCGATCAGCAGCGCCCTACAAACTGTTCAATCAGCACCAAAGGCAAAGTGGAAACACTCACTAGTGTGTCGCTGCGTGCAAATCGGCTTGCAAGGGTGGGATATCCTAGGTGATGCATATACCACCAGCGCAAAGAGCGAATTTATCGCAGCAGTCACTAACGGCTTCGCAAGGCTGGTCGCGTTGGCTACAGATTGGTCCCCTTACTGCGACACACATTGTAGATGACGTCAACGCAACGATAAATGTGAGGAAGAAGAAACGCATTGTTCGTTTGAGGTGATATGATCTGCTGAGGGCTCGAATAATGTCTTTGAGGTGGGTGGACGCTGATGACGACTTGCTTTTATATTATCACGAAAACGTTTAGCGAAACGGTTAGCCATTTTGACGCGCCTGCCTACATAGGTTGTGATGCACTCGTGACGTAGCTGTGACGAGGCCGTGGTGTTATATTCACGCCAAGACCAAACAGTACGCAGAAACCTCATACACCCATATCATGTACTCCTTTCACCCAATATCACCTCTATTCATTTCTCAATCAACAGCGTTCTAAATATTGCTCAACAACTGTGCCAATATGAATGCGGAAACACACTCACTAGTGTGTCACTCGGCCCGTTCTCAAATTGGAGGAGGCCAATCGATAGGCACGCACACGCCACCATCACATTCATCATTGCTGTCGCAACAGTTACTAGTATATTGGCATTGATCCCCAGTTAGGCTACAGGTTGGTCGCCTTGCCGCGACAGACAATATAGATGCTGTCAATGCAACAATAAAGATGAGGAAGAAGAAGCGCATTGTTTGTTTGAGGTGGTATGGTTGAGGTGCTCAAATGATTTCTTTGAGGTGAGTGGATGCTGGTGACGATAGCAAAATGACTTGCTTTTATATTATCACGAAAAGGTTTTGCAAAATGGTTATGCTTGGCGGATGATACGGTGGCAGAATCTATCCCTTCCGGTCATCTCGTGGGTCCTGCCTCAGTCGTGATGCACCGGTGACGCGGCTATGACGAGGCAAGAAATGCCACGTCAAAGCTGCTGATAGACGGCCTACATTATTATCGATATATCACGAAAACATTTAGCCAAATGGTTGTAACGGCTAGCCATTTTGACGCGCCTGCCTCGGTTGTGGTGCACAGTGCACTCGTGAACGAGGCAAAATGCCACGTTAAGCCAGATCAATTGATGATTTATCTGTTGCAATACCAGACGTTGATGGTTTGTGCTGATATGATTTTATATCTGAAGGTCAGGCTATATCGACTCGAAGCCAGATAAGTTGATGATTTATATCACAGGTCTTGACTGTCTTGTGAGCTCCAACTACTAGATGCTTAAACGAGACTCACACAGAAAAAAGTATGAGCAACTACATGTCTTCAATCTTGTCGAGTGGATGACTAAAAGTTCATACTTTTGACCTGTAAGGATTGAACATCCTCTACGCACGGACCAAGCACGGACTATGACTAGGCGCTCGAAGCTGTCCACGTGACTCGCCGCATCACTCTTTGTATCCGAGCCATGCCGCTTTCCATTTTCTTTCATTTTCAAACTTACCTTCTCCTCGTACGCCACTCATTCAGTCTCTCGTATTTTCTTTCATCTTAAAACTTATCCTCTGCACCCGAGGACCCTTACCGTTTCGCGTTTATATACAGTTCATGTACTCTCTTCCATAGCAGCGAATTCTATACTCAGACCCCCGCTCCAAGATCCTCAGAAAGTCCCTAGTAGAACGTGTCCGTGTCATTGCCCATCTCATCTTTGTCTCTCGTGTCGCGTCTAACCTATATCTGCTCACATTCCCCTACGAACTCAAGTAGCCGCCTTACAGACCCAATCAAACTGCGCGTCTTTTAGCTAACACTCATTTGATTTATCGCTGGCCAGACTTATTGTAAGGATTACACGCCGGTAATAGCCGAATCAACACCACGACCTCACCTCACCAGCGCCAGCAAGTAACAAGACCCCAATATGTATTCATCCACTGTCCTTCGTCGCTAACGAGCCGTGCAACACCCATTATCTCACCATTTGCAGCCCACCAGTCCAATATCCATCAAATAACTCTATATTTCTCGTCATTCTGTCTACTCGATACCCATTCGCACACCCGCTCACTCGTTTTCGTACTCCTTGGCAGTCTCGTTATAACGGTTCTCATGTATCACTAGATTTATGATTACTTTATCATGTCACATTCTGAAGTCAGTAGAATCGGCTATTCATGTCTCGGCGCTAATTTTTCTTGTAGGTCCAATGGACCTGGGGACGGAAGTGGAGAATTATTCGCATTACCCTCACACTTTCACGATATGCACCTTTTTCTGGTGCATTGATGTCCTCGTATTGTGAGAGGCGGTGTGCACTACAATGCAAAGCTGTTTATTAACCAACCGCTGTCAAGACATGGAGCACCCAAGATGTGAGCACACTCTTTATCAGCGCAGTATCAACTACAACCGGAAGTATCGGCGAGAATAATACTAACTTCTTGACTTTGTCGTTGCTCTGGCAGGGTCAGTGCAGGTTCAAATGATGAAGCGAAGAGTAAGGGGTTAGGACAAGAGACCGGTGATTCGAGCGAGGGTTCTGTGGTTACGAAGAAGAGAATTGTCGATGCCTGCAGGCAGGTTATGATTTAATGTTGTTAATTGAATACGCTCCCGCAGGTTCTGCCGAAATTTGTTCCATGTGACAACAGTTCTGCCAAATCGATGAGAATCGTGCCCATAAGCATATGCAGGATATAAAAGCTGGTCGTTGTCCTACAGTGTTCCCTCATCCTCAGAGGTATCATTCGAGATCCCCCTATATCACCTCGCACAGAAAATGCGTTTCTCCCTACTCGCCGTTGTCATTGCTTTGACAGCATCTATGTCTGTCAGTGCATGTGTGGCCGAAGGAACATCATGCGAAGAAAACGACTGCTGCAAGGACCTTCTTTGTGTGAGCAGGTCGCTGTGCAACAAGGATTCAACCACATGACTCACCAGCGCCCCTTAGAATGAGATGTTTATCTGCGAGTAGGTTGGCCTGCTGAAAATTAGGCCGGCAGCCTGAGCGGCACGTCGCGACAGTGAGTTATGTTTCGACTTTTGCTTTGTTATCATGGTTGATGGGTGCAATACCTAGTTCGGAGTTAATCAGTACGGGTGTTTTTGGAAAAAATTCGTACTGCTCGAGAAATGTGGATGTTTGAATTTATCTAAAATGATCGACTGGCGTGCCTACTAGCCACAGAAAGTGCGTTTTGTCGTCCTCGCAGCTGTTGCTGCTTTGACAGTATCTATGTCTGTCACTGCATGTAAGACTGAGACAGAGATTTGCACATCAGACTTTGATTGCTGCCAGAAGTTGATTTGGGCCGATAATGATGTAAGTACGAGCAGGTCTTGAGCAGGTCGCTGTGCAACCAGAATTCAATCACATGATGCACCTTAGAGTGCAGGTTACACCTTAAACTCGTGACCACATAGGTTAGGACTGGTCACGAGTCTAGTTACACCTGTTCTCAGGGTGGAGGAGGCTCGTCGCAAGCTCGCACACGCCACCATCGCAGGTAGCATTGCTGTCGCAACAGTCACTATCCTTTACGCAAATATTTCCAGCTGGGCTACAGTTTGGTCGCCTTGCTGTGACTTCTTGTTCTTGTTCTTACTCTTCAGGTCATTTCTCGAGTATGCAAGCAGCAGCAAGAGTCATGGATTCGGGCTTATTCCGAGTTGGAGCCGTAAGATTTGGATTTAGATTTGAATCGGTGTTTGTGCCTCTTGCTTTTCAGATGGAACGACCCGGTCGAGGATCTTCGCAGGGACTTACAGAACATCATACCATGCGCATCTCAAATAGCAGACACCACCACACGTTGTACCAAGCTCGCGGTACTGGTCATTGATGTACTCTACGCGCCGCATGCACTCGGGCTGCGCGTTTAATATGTGTACGCATATTTTATACTCGTCTGTTGAGATGTGTGAATATTAAAAGTTGTATATCCGATGATCAAAAACGAGAACCGGGTAGTTTGTTGTGAGTGAGCTGTCTGGTACTCTGGTCGTCTTGATTCAACTTGAAAACCTGCGAAGAGACGGATTCAGTTCAAACTTCAAATCAGTAATTCATGCGGCAGAGCTCACATATCATAAACTATATCCCTAATGGCACGATAAAGTCCCAGTAACGGCAGGTTATGATATAACTGTCGTAATCAATTGAACGCCCTCCAGGCTGCTGAAATTTCTGCCATCTGATAGCAACAATGATTCTGCCAAATTGATTATAATCGTGCTTATGAGTATATGTATGCAAGATATAAAAGCTGGCCATCGTCCTACAGTATTCCCCCATTCTCACAGATATCATTCGAGACCCCCTCAGAAGATTCCATATTATCTCGCACAGAAGATGCGTTTCTCCAGCCTCGCCGTAGTTGTTGCATTGACAGCATCTATGTCTGTCAGTGCATGTAGCGAAACGCAATGCGTGACAAGTGGAGATTGCTGTTATGGCATGCTTTGTAAAGATGCTAGTAACGTGAGTATGAGCAGGTCGCTGGGAAACCAAGATTCAACCACATGACTCACCTGCGCCTTAGGATGGAGACATGCTCTGCGTGGCACCCTAGCCTGTTGAAAATTGAGCCGGCAGCCCAAGTGGCACATCGCAGTGAGCCATATTCCTGCTTTTGCTTTGATATCATGCTTTATTGTGCAATACCTAGTCCGGAGCCAATCAGTACAGCTGTTTTCAGAAGAAAAAAATTGTACTGCTCGAGCAATGTAGATGTTTGAACACAATTTTGTTGCTGCGCTGGCAGGGTCACTGTAGGTTCAAATGATGAAGCGATGAGCAAGAGGTTGGGATGAGAAACCGGTGATTCGAGTGAGCATTCTGTGGCAACAAAGAAGAGACTTGTCGATGCCTGCCGGCAGGTTATGTTACGAGTTAATATTTGTGATCAACTGAATACGCTCCTGCATGTTCTATCGAGATTTCTGCCATTTGACAGTAATAACCATTCTTCCAAATCGATCAGAATAGTGCTCATGATTATATCCAGGATATAAAAGCTGACCGTCATCCTGGTGCACATTCATACGGGAGCGCGCGTTATGATGAAAGTAAAAAAAAAGGTCCTTAACATCAAAGGGTGGCGTGGGAAGCTCGAGAAGTGGTTCTCTTCATGGAGCAAGTGTTGGATGGGATGCAATGGCCGGTTGACGATGAAGAGCGATGGTACTAAGTTGATAGTAGTTTCGTCAACACTGTTCCTTGCCTTGCCAAGGATGAGTATCAATTCTTAAAGATACCTCATTATCTCTGCGCAGCAGTTGTAGAGTCACTGTCGGCCTACTAATGGCAAAGGTGAATCGCAGGTACTACATATAAAGGAGCAACGAATAAGTGAGAGTAAAATGACATGAGATATCAACTGAGTACTAAGTATATAAGCGGTGAGGGAATAGAGACGGAGATGATTGCGCGAAGCTCTGGTGCACAAGAGGCTTGAGATTATTGCATTGAGATCTATTGAAATAAATGTCATTTCTGAATACCGACGATTTCACGATAGCGCACCAACATTACTCATACGTCCACCACTGAAACAGGGAGTTCTGCATCCTGTTGTTCCTTCTTCGATACGGAATTTTCGTCTCTGCTTCCTCCTTTCATGGACGGTGCGAGGTTGGCTAGGGTCCATTGAACCAATGGACGCCTCCATATACCGGGCAATAATACCAGGAAATCGCAAGGGCCATGTACCCTCCAAGGACCACGACTGTATAGTTCATCTCTTGTGCAGTTGTTTGCGGGGTCGAAGGAAAGAAGAAAATAATGATCATGAAGACCATCGACGACACAGCTATCGCTGCGATTGGAAAGCTCTGCACGGGCATATTAGTGCAGGAATGGTAAATGCATCCCTATAGATCAACTCGCCAATTTCCCGAGATAAAATGGGCCGGGTTTGAAATCGTTCTTGAACGCAAAGCGCGTTGTGATTGGCGTTATGAATGAGACATACGATGCAGTGATACCAATGGTGAACACCGCATTGATGGCCTCGGTGCTCACAAACGCAAGAAGCCCAATCACCAGTACAAAGACGGCGTCAAACCAAACCGTATTAACTGGTGTTTGCGTGTAGCTATTGATCCGGTACAAATATCGTGAAAAGGGAAGGGCTCCATCACGAGAAAATGCAAATGTCTGGCGAGAGCCGACCAGGAGGGAGTTCGATGCCACTATGTACCTGCTTTGTGATTAGGTTATGTGTGTCACGCGCTGCTAGAACGTACAGCGTTGAAATAATGAGACACCACAGAGCTAAGGCCCCCCTCTGCCCAAGCGAAGTGTATAAGATTTGCGCCATAGGCTGGCCGATAGGACCATTTAAGATACTTTCAAGGTTGGTGCCCATGCAAAAGGCAAGGGAAACGTTTATTCCTAGATAAGAAAATAGCATCAAGATCGGAGTGACATGTCGTTCCACATACCCCAACCAAGAACGACCGACACTGCAATAGAACTTATCTACCTGGGGTGAACACAATGATTGGTCATTTTCTGATGTGACTCACGATTGCCCATGGTATTGCAGTAGCAGCGTTTGACGCCTCCTCACTCATATGGATGCTGGCATCATAACCCCCTGGTAATCAAAGGTGGTCAGGAATAGACAATCCGGGAGAAGAGGGTCTAACCTATTGAATAAAGAGGAGCCATGAAGCTCAAGATGAATGCGAATCCAGATGGCCAGCCAGCCACTGTCACTGACAGTGAGCTGCGATTGTAATTGGAAGCGGATACATACAGTTTGTGAAATTCCCTAACGCAAAACTTGCACTGTTTCGGTATTCGCGTGGCGTTGCGATTGGAAGCGCAATAATGACTATGAAGCAAAGGCTGCCGGAGGACTTGAAGCATTGGACATGGAAAAATATACAACACCTACCACAGATTCACAAATGTGTATAGTCTCTGCAGTCTTGCCAAGACTTTGGTACCGAGGCTCACGAGGACAGCATGTGACAAGACCAAAGCTGCGTATATACCGCTGTGGCAACCGTTATGAGATATAGTGATTGGAAGAAGGTGTACTGACTAGAGCTGCTCGTTGGTAGTGACATATGCCTGGTCTGAGGCAATACTAATCGCGGCAGCGATTTGAATTGCGCAAGCCCAGTTCACGGAAGCTGACGCCACGCTATCAGAGGCAAATTGTTGAAACAATGAAAATAGACTCACCGACTCCAGTGATAGTCTGTATGGTATTTGAGTCTGTAGATGTCAAGACGGGATGCACGTCATATCGAAATGCAAGACTTACAGCCAACTATCCACGAGAGAAAATTCCGGCATCGTGGAGAAGCAAGTGAATAAGTCCAATAATATAACTAGACTTTCATAATGAGCAAATGCGAAATAATAACAACACCAAGTACATACACCTCCAGAAGTAGGTGCTGCTGATGCGAGCTCCGCCATTGCCAGCCCAATGCACATGATAAAAGGACCAGCAAATGCCCACTGCAGGGAAAAACGTTACAAAACAATGATCCCTACATATGATGAGAACTTACCCCCCAAACCATAGCGACAGGCCCGCCATTTGGTATGGCATAGAAGAGCACAGAGCTAAATAGATTTTGATCAGTGGATTGATGGCAATTGGCTGGAGTCATATCAGCGACTTACGCTATACCAGGGAGCACTCCTGTATAGCTGAATGCAAGTCCAGACACCTGTACAACTATTAGATTGTGTCGTAGTGACGATAGTCTGATATCAAGCTCACCTCTAGCGGGGTAAATTCCCTACGAAACTCTTGCTTGTATCCTAGCCTAGCTAGAACAGCCTCATCCGCGCCTAGTTGTAGGTGCTGCTTCGAAGTTGCAGGAGCTCTGGCAGCCATAACATATCACTGCGGGACTCCGAGTCAGCGAATGGGCGAGCTGAACCACATCACGTAACATAGCGCGCACTACTAAAAGAGATGAAGAGAACACATGGGGCAAGATCAAAGATAGAGCCGGCCGATTTAGGACCCGCATTATGACCGAGCAAGCCTCTAGTCTGTGATCCAAACGGAAATTGACCAAATGTTTATCTCAACTTACGGTCCGGACGTTTTTCCTTGGTGGAACATACGGACTCGCCGGCGAAGAGGCTAGGGAACTGGCATGTCCATCTGGACATGAGCCCCACAGCTTTCAAGTTGGTACCGACCAGATCTAATAAGTACACCTTCAAGTTGCTTTGAAGTTTTTTTTTTTCGTTCAGAGTCCGATCACGTTAACTCAGTGTACGTTATTAAGTCGGCAACGGCCGCTCAAGCCTCGAGGTATACCGAAGTTCCAGGGTACCTGAGATCTTGCCCGCCTAATATTAGCTAGCTGAGTCCACAACGTCGCGATATGAGTAACCCTACATTGAAATCAAGAAGCGATCTTTATCCAGAGACTTCTGCCAACAGCAGGTTTGTTTAATTATTCAAGAGGAGGCCGCATCTCCAGCCTAGTATTATCTCAACTTACGTTTTGCACTCCAGACAAGCTCAATCTACACCTATATCCGTTACATCCGGTAGCTGTACCATATTGAAGAATCCCTTGAATCAAAAGGCCACTGTCCATGATGCTACCGATGACGAGTGTAGCTCTGACTCGGAAGGGACCGTCCAAAGTCCCAGCCATCACGAGCGCCATAAGCGCGTACGCCTCCAGGATATCTTATCTCAAGGTGATGATCGTGGCGAGGATATCGAATCGCCGTCAAAGAGGGCAAAGATATTGACCACAACAGTACGTTCACAACATCATTTGAACATTAACTTGAAAACCGAGCTTATTTTTCAAAGTGGACATCCACTGACTCTCCTGATGTTTCAAACTATTTTAATGAACGCATGCTCGAACTTTCATACGTCACTCGCCGGGCTTTTGCTGCGAGAATCCGATACGCACGCCTTCGTAGCCACGAACTTGAGCTGATGAAGTCCATCGTCGAGTATGAAAACGAGCAGTCCAAAATACAGATAAATGCAATTGATCTGCAGATCAGCTCCCTCAAGGACACACTTCGCGATGCAGGGGTGGACATGGAGAGCAAAGAGTGTAGGTTATCCAAGGACAACATCAGGATGTTCTCTGGCGATGACGATGACGATGAGGCAAGTTGGCAAGAAGATGACTCTTGCGACGTGACATTTTCATTTGGAAGTTCTGGATCTGGCTCAGACTACGCGTCAGATGAATCAGATGTTGATTGACTTTGCCATCGATATCTATCCGCTGTTTATGTCTGCGCATGCGTCGATCAAAAAGAATGCCCAGCCAAATTTCATCATCCTTATCAAATACATCTGGGATATTCCTTGTCAGTCGCCAAATCACAAGGAATAATTACATAAAAGTGGTCCGACCCCACTCAGCTCCGCAGACTAGTCGCCGTAATCTCTTTCACCTATCCTAGTTGATCACTAGTGAACAGCTGACATGGTACCGATGCGTCGCAGCGCATACAAGCCAGGTTAATTATACAATATACCGTCATACAACATGTTTCATGATAACCAAACACGAGCGCGATCCCGTCGGTTTGAACTCAAGACAAGTTTTGCATTGCGCCTTTCCATCATGTCAGGTCGTCAAAAAGCATCTGGTCTTGTGCGCATCTCAAAGGGTTCAAATGATAAAGCGATGGGTGAGAGTTTGGGATGAGAAACCTGGGGTTCGAGCGAGGATTCTGTAATTATAAGAATTGTCAATTGCTGCTGGCAACAATGGCCGTAATCAAATAGATACGCTCCTGCAGGTTCTGCTAAAAATTCTGCCATCTAACAGCAAGAACAATTCTGCCAAATCGATCAGAATTGTGCCCATAAGCATACACAGGATATAAAAACTGGTCATCGTCCCCAAGTGGTCCCGCGTTCTCAGAGATATCATTCGAGATCCCCCTCAGAAGATTCCATATCACCTCGCACAAAAATGCGTTTCTCCCTCCTCGCCGTTGTTGTTGCTCTAACAGTATCTATGTCTGTCAGTGCATGTAGCCCCGCAGGAGCAACTTGCGGATTAACAGCTTGCTGCCCTCCATTGAATTGTGAAGATGTAGATGGCGTGAGTATGAGCAGGTCACTGTGCAACCAGGATTCAACCGTATGATTGACCTGCGCGCCTTAGAGTGGAACGATTTTGACCTGCGTATGAAAATCAAGCTGGCAGCCCGAGCGGCACGTCGCAACAGTGAGTTATGTTTCTTGTTTCGCTTTGGTATCATGGCTGATGGTGCAACACCTAGTTTGGAGTCGATTAGTACAATTGTTTTTTTCGTACTGCTCGAGTAATGTGCATGTTTGAACTTATCTGAAAATGACCGACCGTGCCTAGCCTTTCTCGTTGTCAACTAAGCTCGAGTTCAAGAGGCTGTCGAAACGAGCGATCATTGCTGTAGAAGATTAATATTGACTCAGGCCGTGCCGTGACGAAGATGGAACGCACTGCGCAACTTGAATTTGTCGTTGGCCTCGAAGGCTAGCTCGTGAATCTTTCTCGATGTGTGTAATTGAGCCAATGAGAGGCCACTTTTTTGCCGATCGGGTCGAGATTCATGACGGACGTATTATTTTCCGGTATCATATAGCAGCTAGTCGAAGCCCAGAGGTGGAAGAGAATTAACCGGGCCTAGTTTTCACACGCAGATGCAATTCTATAGATGATACCTACTAGACTTATCACGACTACCGAGTCTTTTCAAAACCACGGTACTGCGTTCATTTCACGTCCTCGCACTAAACTATATCCATGTCACATGAAAACGTTGTCAAGAAGCTCGTAATGAAACTCCCTATAGTAAAGAAGCCGGACGAGTCGCTCGAATGCTCAGGCCCCGCATTCATTGTTCCGAGTCACATCCACCCACTATTAGTGAAGACGAGACGGTACGCCTCTTTCTGAGGCCGAATAACTGTTCAGTGACGAAGAGGACCAACTACGAGCTGAAGATGGTATCCTTGAAGAAGATGAAGATCATCAGGCATATAATGGGTTCGGCGTGGATTCGTCTGCTACTGGAATATGAATTTGGTGGTATATTGACTAACATCTTACCTGGTTTTTGCTAAAATGGATATCTTGATAGATGCCGAACTCACGTTCGTTTATGGCCGCCTTACACAGTGCCGCACAGGGCGTAAATTAATATTCATGATTCATCGGAGAGCTCAAAGTACCATGCTTCATTCGTGCAAACCGGCTGCTCATGTGGAACGCCACGTCGAACGCGAGAGCACAAGTTATTGCGTGGCTGTCCGCTATTCACACGCCAACGCATCCGCTTGCGCGCAGTATCCCACATCAACATACTCAACAAGATCCTGGGTATGAAGAAGGGGATAGAGGCGCAAGCAAAACTCATTCATGAGCCTGACGCTTTCAAGAAGGTTTCCATACTAGGACATCCGTTACGTCCGTCAACATGAACCCTTGGAGCTATGTGGAAATGACTCCGAGATGTTGAATGCTTATGGACCCAGTCGACGGCTGGTTGGAAACTCGAATGTTCAGTAGACAGTAGTTCGACCCCAAGTTGGTGATGAACCTTGGCTGGCAATCTGCTGGCATTACAGATCGCTGCCATCTGTTTGAAGGCACAACCACGCAATAAGAATTTCGAATAACAACATTCAGCTCATAAAAACCAGCCGTCCTCTTCAGAATTACCTGATTTCTTATCATAAGAGTCACAAACAATGCGTTTCTCCTCTGCATTTGTCCTCGCTATCGTTGCTGCTTTAGCCTCATCATCTGTCTCTGCCATACCCCCTCAGGTTGACGAGGCTGGCACCACTCAATGTCAAAACTTTTGCTACACTGATGAAGTATGCAAAAAAACTGGCTGCGCTTTTGGGGTTTGTGTGAGTATCAGTAGTTTTCGTGGCTCTGATAGCATAACTTACTTGCATGGCAGTTCCTCAATCTTTTCTGCGTAGTGAGTCGTGTTTCTGCCCTCGCATCCGTGCAGTATGGTCATTGGCACTGACGCGCGAGTGATTAGTGATTTGTAGATTTGATCAACGGACCACGACCGCATTCGGATCCCCCTGGTCGCTACAAAATCTATCTTATTTAACAAGCATATAGAATTTAACATGAGACTGACGTTATTCTGTAACATGCCCTAAAACTTTTCTGGGTCATCACTACAGTAGGACCAGGGCCGTTTGCTCCTATATCTTAGATGATAAACCTCTTGACGATGTCTTCGGAGCCACGCACGTCCATCCAGTGAATAGTGCTTGACTGATTTATCAAACACTTTTTCAAACATGTTACTTCGTTGTGCTTGATCTGGAGTTCAGTACTCAGTTCCCGAACCGGTTTTGGGGGTAGTCCCGCCAGGATTGATCGATTGATCCACAACAGTCGGCATCAGTCACGTCAGAGTCAATGTCGAAGTTCACCCATGGCGCGAGCGGCCTTCCCTTCTCGTAAGGAGATGAGGTTATTAGGTGGGTGGTGAGGTAGATTAGTGATATTTGATGTTAGTAGTTCGTTCTTCCTGGGGGTATGTTCATCAGGACAAAGTACGGTGCTCATGCGAGCCTATGTACGTCAGGAAAATAACGGATTCATTTTTATGACTTAATAGTAACTTAAAACGCATTTAAGGGACCAAAAATATGGTATAAAGTAGTAAAAAATGTGAGTCCAAGCAGACGCAAAGAGACTCCAAGTGATGCGAAAGCAAAGTTTCGTTGAACCTTCGGCACGTCGACGAAGAATTCTCCAGTGTGTGCTTGGTCTGTCAGGAAATCGCGAAAAGATGCATGAAGAGGTCGGATTGGGGTGGATGAGTTGGTGGTGCCGCTAAGGAGGGATCCCATATGTTCCACTATGACCTCCACTTTGTAACGATCGCTTTCATCTGGAAAATGGCTTCGCATGGTATTCAGGGAATGCAACGGGAGGGGTTCGGTTGTGCCAAGGATTTGTCCCATCACAGAACGAAACATCGCTAACTGGGTTTGCTGAGACTTCGGGTCCGTGTGTCTATCCTTTGGTATCATCTGCTTCAAAATTAAGTCATACATATCGTACAACAAGTGTCTCCGTTCGACGCCATCGCGGGACACGATGACATTGAAGAACTGAGCCGAAGATGAGCCGAAAGGAGGTGCTTCGATGTATTTGCAAGCAAGACGTGCCCACTCAAAAAGACCACCACTGGCTTTCTTGGCCAAGGCTGTAAACTCTTTGCTCCCAAAATCCGGAAGCCCTTCTAATTTCTCCGATACGTAGGTGCAGATATCGCGTTCAGCCACTTCTAGTGGAATGTCGTCCATAGAAATCCTTCAAATGTGTTGAGCGCCCGCAAACGAATTCTGAATGTCGCGAAGCGGGCGGGAGGTGACTATGATCCGGAAGTTCTTTGGGAGTTTGATACGGGTGATGGTTGGGTCTCGAAGTTTACCGGAAAGAATGCGAAGAAGGTCACTACGTGTCTCCACTGCCTCGACACTTTCGTCCAGTGCGTCGATAACGATCACGACGAGCCCCATGGGTGACTCAGAAAGCTTCCCTAACGGTTCTATAAGAAGCATCTGCCACTGCTGTACGACGTCCGGTGTCGTCTTGAGCGCAGTTTGGTTCTTGACTGCATGCGCTAACGCTCGTCTCATCTCCGGATGACGGTCAGCCAGGTCTCGCGCGTAGTGGAGAAAACCTTTTTGTGGCGATCCTCCGTGTTTCTGTCGAAGCAGTAACAAACACCAAGTCCGTCCACCCCGATGAACGAGCTGGCGATCGTGTGAGCAATGGCTGATTTACCCGTTCCGGCAGGTCCGGATAGCCATAGCACACGTGGAACATCGTCTCTGCTGTCGTTGATCGACCCCATGATGTCGGAGAGAATGTCTGTGCGCGTCTCTTGCAGGCATCGCTTCCTAGTATCTAGTCCTGCGGCCTCCGCATAAGCTATACCACTGAATACCAGTATTTCCCTTGTAGATATAATTCTTACTTTCATCGTGAATATAGGTGGCTACGTCGCGAGTGACTTGGTCGCGGAAGTTTTGCATGAACGCATCCAACACATCGTTATACTGTTGTATCATATCGTTTGTTTCCGAGATGATGTTCTTTCCGAGTATCTCCCCTATGAAACGATTGAAAATGTGCAAAGTGTGACGACTCGTTGGAGACTCACAAAAGCTTTTCTTCCCTGAATAATCCCTGATGAAATTGGCACATTCTATGGTCTGCTAAGAAATCTGTCCCAAGATGTCCCTCATCGACGATATCTTGAGGAGTGTGTCGTCTCGCGTTATGAAGCCATACACTTGACCCAACTTCTTGTAGAGGTCAAGTACCGCTTCGTCACGATCCGCTTGAGCAAGAATTATCTGCGTGCAGAACAAGTGGGCAGGAAATATGAACAACAGCAAAAAAAAAACGTACTTTTGATGCGCAAGAAAGCACGCCCAATGCCATCTTTGCATACGGATGCACCTGCAGAACGTTCTTAGTCTAGTTCTAAAGAGGAAGAGAGAGAACATACCTCTGCTATCGTCCCGATCACAGTGTCGAATATCCTGAGGGGTTGAAGATAAGCGGTCCCTATGCTGTCTATGTTATCGAGCGCTGTTGGTCCCTTTTTGCCTGCAGATAACACGGATCGTCATTGAGTTTCAACTTCATGAATATCAACCACTTACCCGGCGTTCAGCAGTATTTGTTTTGTTGGGTGTCTCTATGTCTGGAGGAGGAACTGACGTCGGTCCTCGGCTCAGAGTTCCCCAATTGAATGGGGTTGTTCATGGTGAATAGTTGATCAGAGTAGTGCAAGACAAGAAGTTGGAGAAAGGACGCGCGCCGGCTTGGAGGCAATGTTTGCTACTATGTTGACTTCAGGCGCTAAGCATTGGGTGGGCGCCACAGAACTCCGGGACTCTGAAACGCGAGGAAGAATGAATCGAAGATTTGCTGATCGGATATATAGCCACATATGTACCAATCGACTGGGAGCACAAAGTTGAATTAATAGAAGTTGGACCTAGTTTTCACACGCACGTCGCAGATACAATTCTATATTAGATGATACCCAACTTACCACGACTACCGAGTCTTTTCAAAACCATGGTACTGTAGAGTTACGACACTACCTTCGACTAGATTTAGCTGTGACCACCTTACCCTTAGCTTCAAAGCTTCAAATCACGATGTGACGCGTGACCTATCCAAAATAGGTTCACTCCAAGCCCGTTGTTTCAAGTTTGTACGCATTGTGTTCTTATTGTGGTCCGGCAAATGATAATGAGCTCACGCCCGTCGTGCCTTCGGCACAAATCGAAGGAGCGCTACGCACTCCTTCAGGGGAGGAAAATGAGTGTTGTTCCTTCATCACAGGAAGCCAAGGAGGGCTACACCCTCCTTTGGCTTCCTGGCCTCAGGCTGCATCCTAATAAATCGTGCATTTTGAATAAGATCACGCCTTGATAGTGGATTTCAAAAAGAGGTACATTTATGAGCAGCATTTCAAGAAAACTAAAAGTACATAGTACATAAGATCAGTCAGTTCTATATATATAAGTACATCAATCATTGATATGATCTGTGAGTCCTCTAAGCACTTCTGTATATACTACATTGGTTGTATTTGAGCCTTCTTCATGCTCCGGAAAGATAGCAAACACTCTGTCTGGGTGGGTGCAGTGAGATAAAGCCACATAGAGTTGTCCATGGCTGAAGACAGGAGTCCGCAAATTAAGGCCAACCCACTTGACACTTTGACCTTGCGCCTTGTTGATTGTCATAGCGAATGCAAGACGAACAGGAAACTGGTGACGCTTGAGGGGGATTGGGTTCTCTTCAGAACTGGATTCCATAGTGATGCGAGGGATTAGGACTGTGTTTTCATCGACCTGCTGATCTTCATCGTCTCCATCCCTAAGAACACGGCACCTAAGGACACGGGTGGTCCAAGACAGGAGGATCATGTGAGTTCCATTATAGAGTCCCTGCAAGGGGTTCAAATTGCGCAAAAGCATCAGAGGAACACCTGCTTTGACCTCCAATTTGTGCAAAGGGAAGCCTGATGGGGCGAGGGTATGAAGGAACTCTGGGGGAATGTAATCATATTCTCTCTCTGTGACTGAGTCCGTGCTGGTGAAGACTGCTTTTTCTCCAGGGAATGATTCCAGGATAGTGGCATTGATTTCATCCACATCAGTGTTCTTTGCAGAAAGAATGGTGCGATCCAGGAAGTATGAATCATTTAAGGGAGGATGATCAGGGAGCAGAATTCTTGAGTATAGGGCATTGATGAGAGACCGGAGATCATTGTTGGGACACCGCATGCGGGCAGGGAGGGTCACAGTTCCATCTTCATTTGTGCCCCTACCAGCTCCAATCTCAAGAAGCCACCTTGCAAAATCATCAGAAGCGGGATCTTGACCAAGACACATATTTCTCTTGAGATGGAATATATGAAGCCTTGACCAGATGCGAGACCTGCAAAAGGAAGCGCCCACTATCTGCTCCCTGGATCCATGAGGCACCACCGGCAGGGTCTGTCTAAAGTCTCCTCCAAAGAGCATGGTTATTCCTCCAAAATCAGCATCAACATTCAGAAGATCACGTAATGTGCGGTCAAGGCATTCCAGGATGTGGCGGTGTAACATCGGAATTTCATCACAAATAATTAGGGAGGTGGCCTTGAGAAGCTCATGAAGAATGTCTCCTTTCTTTATGTTGCAAGAGCTGTCTTCATGAATGGGAATAGGGATCTTGAATTGCGAATGAGCTGTACGTCCACCTGGCAGGAGGAGAGAAGCAATTCCAGAGGAAGCCACACATAGGATGATCTTGCCTTCAGCACGGAGTTTTGAAGCGATGAGCTTGCAGAGATATGTCTTGCCACATCCACCTGCACTGTGGACAAAGTATGAATGTCTTGGTCTGCGCTCATCCCGATGCATTGCATCATTGACCACCGCATCAAAGACCGCCCTCTGCTCTTCATTGAGAGAAGGAACTCCTCTATCCACCACCTGCTGAAGCTCTTCTTGGTTGTACTGGAGCTGCTCAGCAATCAACTGGTTACCCTCAATGGCCCCCCATCTTGCTGCCATTTGAGAGACAGGCATGTGGGGAATGGCATCCAAAGACTTTCCATTTTTGCGAAGCACTCCATCGATGAGATAGAGACCATAGTCATAGACCTCCTCCTCAGTAGCATCTGGCATGTTAAATGGCATGCGAGTGAGACAGTGGCGCAGATCATCGCAGAGATTGTCCTTGAAGCGGTTCCAAAGGTCGTCAGGGCTTGTAGGGTTGCAGAAGAGGAGGATGATGGCAAATATATTTCGTGTATGGTATCCAGTGCACATATGAGAGGCATCCCGCAAGCACTGAATCCATTCATTATCATCAACACATTAAGTTTGATTCATACAAATCATGGCAGAAATCATACCTTTCACTACGGTCAAAAGCAATCTCAGATAAAATCTCTCTCCAGAGCCAGGGGCAGCAGAATACATTCTTCCAATTGCAACTCCACGCTGATGTATCTTCCAAGCAACTTTTTGCCACACAAACTTTGAGGGGAAATCCTGGTAGAGGAGATCATGGGCTCCAGCTGCCACCATGTTTTCATCAGCATTGGCTTTGAACCATCCAGTGAGGTGAGTCTCCTTTGCTGCTGCACGCTCGACAACATTCTCGGGATTATCCTCAGGATCATAGACAACCATGTGTTCACCTGGGAGGTGGACTGGCAAGCGGTAGACAGCAGGCCATTCAAGGTGCATCTCATTTTCCATGATGCGCCATGCAGCCTCAATTGAGCTAATATACCTGGAGTCAAGATATGATTTGACCTCATCCACCGGTCCTTCCATCTCCAAAGTCGCACGGTCATGTCCTTTGTAGATATATTTGTGAATGTACTTGACAGACTTGATCGAAGCGCAGACTTCCAAATTGATGTGGCAGTTGAATTCAACCAGCAGTTCCGGAGGGTGAGGAATGACATCTTTATTGGTGAAGACATCGTTATTCTTTTGGATCGTGCGAGCATTATCTGGTCTTGCATACTCTGGGTAGCTATCATCCTTCAAGGATGTCTGATTACAGAAAGACTTTGGAAAGTGCTTTTTGCACTGTCCATTCTCCAAGCAATGCTCTGGACTGCATGGGCCATGAAGCATGTATTTTGATACAGCTTCATAGAGTTGCAGGTGCACATTTCTATCCGGTATCTGAGTGGAGATGAAGGAGTTGATTTGCTCCACAGTTCTTATCTTATGATCTGAGTCAAGGAAGATAAGCAGATGCATGTGAGGGAGACCACACTTCTGATATTTGATGGTGTACACCAATCCTGCAACTTTTCCGTAGTAGCCCTTGCGAACCTTCTTCAAGAGCGCTTGTTGCTTTTGGTAGAAGACACGAGCCACCAAGTCTGGACGATCCACAGCGCTCTGACCTACATAAGCAATATTAGCAACAACATTATAAATTAATTATTAAAATTTACCTGGAAGGAGGTTTTCAGTGATCTCAGGCCAACTTTCATTTGCAGTCATTGTTAGGAAAAGGTCAGGCTTCTTGCAGGCACGGCAAATGGCCAAGGAATCCTGAAGCAACTGGTGCATATAGCGGGGGCTTCCAGTATGCGATGATGGAAGAATGATTGCGCGACCTGTCTGAGCCAGATCATCTGTGCCATCATTAAGGATGTTGTCTGCCAGGCCTCGGTAGCAGTCCACCCTAAGCTTTTTTTTGGTTTTTGGTGACCCAATTCAGATTGCTCTGTTCAATGGAAGCCCAAGCATCAATGACATACTGCTGGAACAGTCTTCCACCATGAAAGATGTTGTTGTTATCGATATGGATGGGGCAGGGGTGAAGACGGAAGGCATAGTATAACAGCTGGGTCACTTCTTTTGAACATGTACGTCTGCCTTGAGGGATGTTGAGAGGTATTCCAAGGTGCCAGCCCTCCTCACCAGAAGGAAAGAGAAGTACATAGTGAAGGGTCAAGTATGCATGGCTGAGCTGACTGATGCGTCGCAGCTGACCACCTTGAAGTCGCAAGACAATATCTCATTCGTCGGATACCTCCTCAGATCCATCTCCAGGAATGATCACAGCAATTTCATCAGCAGTGGGAAGATTATATCTTCGACCATCTGTGCCCTGCTGAAAGTGAATGCGTGCACGAACTTCTGTGTGCTGCTCTGGAGGCTTCTCGCTCATAACTTGATAGGCCTGCTTATAAAGAGCCGCATAGGGATGATTTCGATAGATCATATCATGGAGGTCTCTGAGAATACGACAATCAAGGCCTTTGTTTCCTGGTCGGTTGGCACGGATGTCGGTGGCACGTTCAGGATCATAAATGTAGATTTGAGCGTATGAAGCCTGAATACCTTCAGGGGGAATCAGGCTGCCCATAAGGTGGTGAAGAGATCCATAGATACGAAAAGCATTTGGGCCAGAGCCTTGAAGGGCCCTATCCTCGATGGTGACACCTACAGATGTGAATGCAAGAGCACTGTTGTACTGGCGAATCTTGGAGACAAATGTTCTGTCTCCATATGCCTGTTGCAGCTCGAGTGGCCATGCTGGAAAGGGAGGAAGGTTGACTTTTCCCTCCAAGCAGCACGTACCAAACTGTGGATTTTGTGCGGATGGTTTCATAAGTCTTTCACATGCAAAATGCATGGCATGGCAGTTGGGGCACTCCACATTAAGAGGACCAAGAGTGTGGCGATTGATGGGCTCTCTGTATGCTTGAGCTCCATCTGGGATAGGGATATCTCGGACAGGCGCCTGGTTGATATATTCATCATCCTCTGCATCGCGCTGCTGGTGATGTTCTTGCTCCTGAGTTCCTCTTCTTTCCTCGTCGTCTTCATGCTGGTGCTGAGAAGCAGGGTTATCATATTCGCGCAATGCCTCTTCAAGACACTCCTGTTGCTCACGATCCCTCTGCTCCTGGCGGTGTTGGCGCTCTTCTGCCTATTGACCTGCTTGCTGAATATCCTGAGCCTGTCTATTAACCCGCTCAGCTTCCTCTTGCTGTAGGCAATGAGCCTCCTGAGCTTGTCTATTAGCCCGCTCAGCTTCTTCCTGCTGTAGGCGATGAACCTCCTGAGCTTGTCTATTAGCTTGCTCAGCCTCCTCCTGCTGTAGGCGATGAGCCTCCTGAGCTTGTCTATTAGCCCACTCAGCCTCCTCCTGCTGTAGGCGATGAGCCTCCTGAGCTTGTCTATTAGCCCACTCAGCCTCCTCTTGCTGTATGTGATGAGCCTCCTGAGCTTGTCTATTGCGCCACTCAACTTCCTGCTGCTGTATTTCAAAAGCATACTGAGCCTCTCTATTTCTCCACCTAGCTTCCTGCTGCTGCAATTCCAGCTGAATCTGCTGTTGATGAAATGCCTCTTGTGCTTGTCTGTGAAGAAAGTCATTTCTAATCTGTTCATTTTCCATCTCTTCTTGCTGGAAATGGTGATGAAACTGGATGTTAAACTGGTGGTAATCAGGTTGAGGCGGAGCATGCAAAGGTGGTGCAGGATTAGGCGCAAAGTAGCAGAGGGGATCATTAAAGTTCTGAGGTCCAACTGCACCCTCATAATGAATAGGGCCATATGCAGGAGCGGGAGGCATGGGAGCAGGTGGAGCAGGTTCATTAGAAATGTGAGGTACCTGTGGAGGCTGCATTCTAGCTGCCATAACCTCTGCCTGTGCCTGCTGTCTTATTTCATCTCTGTCCTGTCGCCGACAGAGATTCCGCTGATGGCGCTGTAGGGATTCATTTCTGGCTGGGCTTGCAGAGACTGTTTTTACCTTAGTGTTATGTTTGCACTTTTGTAGCTTACATAAGGAAGTTACCTTTTCACCAGTTCTACTATGAGTCTGAGTATTCAGCAGTTTTTATGACATTTCCTCTCCTCTGAGCCTTGAGCCTGGTCCAGAAACCCTTTAGGGTCGAATAGCAGCTAGGTTCTGCAAGACCCAACATTGTTCAGACTCACCATCTGAATTGTTGTACCTTCAGCGCCTATCATTTTGAGCAGCATTCATTTGCTCATTTAAGCGAGCATTATAATCAACAGAAGGAAACTGATGAGCACGCTCCACATGCGCAATCACATTTCTTGGCAAGCCAGGATATCGCTCAACTGGTAGTGGTTGATGTGGGAAGTGTGCGGGGGGTTGCCATGCAAAAGGTCGTAGAACAGGGCCTGCTTGTGGCTCATTAGCTGGCACAAAATTTGGCTGTGGTACAGCAGGCGGAGGTCTGTCCTGATTATCCTGGGCAGCCCGACGGCGATTGCGTCTGGTGGGAGACGTCATTTGAAGTCTGTTAATTCTATCTTGTTCACGTTGCGACTGGCGGTCACGTTCTGGTGTAATCTGTGGTTGTTGTCTAAATGTGCAGACATCAGCATCATGCACCTTGCAATGTAGCAATTTTATAGTCAACAACTCACGGAATAGGAAAATTTTGATCCATCTTTGTTATATTATAATATTCAAACTGTTGTTTGGCAAGTGTGAAAATTGCCTGAACTCATTGATAAGTCACTTCTATTCATTGTTGATAAGAAATGAAACCCACAAAAAGTGTATTACACTTTATTACACTTGGCTGCAGGGAAAGGCAATTTAACTCGAGAATTCTATTCAAAAGCAACAGCCAAGTTGTGTAATGATTTGTGTAACCAAATGTGTAATCAAATTTCTATTATTGCTTTTGTTATTCTCGATGCCTTTCCCATATAGTAGGAAAAGTGTGTTGTTTGTCCGTTGCGTTCCTGCGGCGCAGTAGGCGTGAGGATTACTGTCCACTATATCGCGTTTGGCAGTATTTTTGGACTTGTAAAAATTTCTCTCAGATTTTTCATTCACACTCTTCTTACTTAGTCTTAGTCTTAGTCTTAGTGAGTCCACGCGAGAATTCCAAATTGAGGTTAAGCGAGCTAAGTGCAAACCACATGGCCTTTGGCAAAATACGCGAGATAAACGAAATAAACGAAATACGCGAAATAGGCGCCAACCACGCGAGCGCCCGAACGTTCCCGCAACTGTCGCACTTTACTTCTTAGATTGAGGTAAGACAATTTTTGGTCTCATTGAAGTGCTGTATGTTTTTTCGGTCAAATTTACCACATGTCACATTTTAGCTTCATCTTGCAAATACCAGTGTGACAGTCACAGTGAATAGCTTCAATTCAGAGTGTGGTGTGACATGTGATGAATTTAGTGTCGTAACTCTACAGTACTGTGCATTCACTTCACGTCCTCGCACTAAACTATATCCATGAAAACATTGTCAAGAAGCTTGTAATGAAACTCCCTGTAGTAAAGAAGCTGGACGAGTCGCTCAAATGCCCAGGCCCTACATTCATTGTTCCGAGTCACACCCACCTAGTGCTGCTGCAGTCCGGTTCTGAACCTTTCCGAACTGGACGCATGGTCCGGTCCAAGGTTTGGCCAAGTGTTAAGAACGTGCTCAAGGGTTGGATCCGAAGGGCTTGGCTTCAGCTCATGCACTGCACCCCTTACCCGAGTACGTGCCCCTAACTTCCGAGGGCTGTTGGACGATGTCCAAAGGTTATCGGATGAGTCCGGAGTCCGATGTCCGATGCGCGGGAATTCCGGCGGACGTTTGGGAACGAAGGATAAGACTAATCCGGATGATGTCCAAACTAGAAAGGAAACAGTGGAGGACTACCAGAGGTAGAGGCGGAGGTGAGAAGTCTATAGGAATTGATCCTAAGACTAGCGGAGGACGACGAGAGGAGAAACTCAAGTCGGACAGAGAAGAGAATGAGCAGAGTCTAAGATAATATTTGAACTGAGGAAGTACAAGGATTCTACAGGGTTTATATACTACTGAGGACTTAACGGAGAGTCAGTCTGCACAGTCCGAAGCTATGCGAGGCTGTGGACGGAACATATAGAAAAGTCAAACACTAGTATATCGGAAAATAGTAAATGAAGACGGAGATGAAGACATAGGAAAATAAAGGCGGAAATGAAACGAGGTACGGAAAATGGGTATAGTCTAACTGGAGAAGGAACGTACAAAGGGATAAGGCACGGAAGATAGATGCGGTTCGGATCCGGACGATAGATAGAAGTCGGCCGGATCCGGAAGTCCGGAAATGATGTGTGTGATTGGTCCGGGTCCAGAATGCGGGATATGACACCAAGACTCAGAACCGAACCTTTCTAGCGGTTCGGGGTTCGGGCTGGTAGTGAATAGGTTCGAACCCGTTTGAACCTCTCAATTTTTGTAGGCTTCACACTTTTTTTTAAATATGTAAGTATTTACTGTGAGTCAATATATATGCAAAGGCATGTGTCTGGAACCCGCACAGGTTTGGGCTGGGTGAAATTGACGCGGTCCTGTTGCGCCTGCCACAGTTGTGACGTGCTGTGACACAGTACTGCACTGTCACAAATTCATGTTCAAACACTAGGTATCTCATGTCGCTATATGAATTTCAAACACTTTGAATTCTTGCTAATGATCAATATAGATAAGTACTACTTGGGAATGTTATGTGCATTGTTACGCACTCAAATAGATCTGTTAGGCGGAGCCCTAAGAGGGGCGTCGTCCGCTAACGTTCGTGACGTAACCGGAAGGATCCGGTATAGCAAGTGAGACTGGCGACAACGAGTCGGCAGTGATCACAGTACGCGCGTGTCACGTGACTTCGTAGACGGATGTCTTGAGAAGTCGCTCAAAGTAAGGACAGTCTTGTCCGAACGATGAGGTCGATCGAGGTAGACTTAGCCGTGATGAGCGACTAAGAAAAGATACTAGAGACTGAAGCTGAGGGGGCTTCAGAGGGAAGTATGTTCCAGGGAAGATTGAGTAGATTCAAGTTAAGGAATCTAGTACAGGGTGACCGACTACTTATACTAAGTGGAGAGGGTTAAGGGCAAGGCTACCGCACAGTAGGTAAGGGTAAAGGGGATACGGGAATGGTATAGGTGCGTTGGCATCAGGGCCTGATTAGTGATGGGTGGTCGAATGTGGAATGAGACCGAGAAACGTTGGAACGGACCAACGGTAAGAATACAATGTGCGGGAATCCGCAGTCAGGGGAAACAGAAAGAGGAAAGCCACATTGGTGGCACGAGTCAGACCAAGTCAGAGGTGCGGGACCACATTGGTGGTCGAATCACAAGAGGAACGTGCGTGCACGTGCATAGAGGCGGATGATGCGAGGGACGGGAACGGTCCTGAGGATCTGGTCAACGGAAAGTCGGTAAAGGAGGACGAGCCGGTAGATGGTGAGGGCGAGGATGAAGGGAAAATGATAGGGGGGCCACGTGACCGATGTTACTTGTAACATGCATGGGGAGTTCTCGCATTTCCTGCTCCCCCCTTCATATGCAGACCTGCAAGTGGCAGCGCGCCAGGGCCCAGTCATCATACTCATTGCGAGTCAATACTCATGTAGCGCCATCATCGTCCCAACATCAGGAGACCCCCATCATGTTCCCTTGCTGTCTGTCACTCTCGCAGATCTGACCAATCTCAAGGACCACGTCGCCAGGGCAATACGACACACATCTACCCTGGGCCCCAAATTGCCGCGAAACAATCTAATAGTCCTCTTGCGGACAGTATGGGACGAGATCATGCTACCCATCGTCGACGTCCTCCGGCATAATCTGAAACTAAAATACTGTCGTTGCCTACCACATGCCACATCATGCCTCAAACCCCACCCTGTGCATCAGCACTGTGGAACTTAGGTATGTTCTCAATTTATGTGTATTATGTACTGATTTTATTTCAATTTATATGTACAGGCAACTTCGACATACACGCCTGGCGCACACAATGATACCTTCATCTCTCCCTCTTGTCCCTCCTTCCACCCAGTGTCCACCACACATGTTCGAGCCACATCAACATTCACTGATGTGCACCAGGCGTGTGCGCTAAGCACTGGTGGCTATTGGGATTGGGTGGGGGCGGACAAAGGTCTATCATGGTCTCGAGCCTATATAACAAAACAGGCGGTCCAAGCTTAGTCGAACCTGGTTCAAACGTGAACCAGACCTCCTGAACGCGTTCAGTGACGTTCAGTCCAGGGTTTGACCAAATGGCTGAACCGAACCATAGGTTCGGTTTGGCATTTGGAAAATTTGCCCCAAGAACCAGACTGAACCAGACTTCGGCAGCACTACACCCACCCACTAATATTAGTGATGACAAGATGATATGCCTCTTTCTGAGGCCGAATAACTGTTCAGTGACGAAGAGGACAAACTATAAGCTGAAGATGGTATTCTCGAAGAAGATGAAGATGAAGATTCATCAGGCATAAAATCCATTCGGCGTGGATTCGGCTGCTACTGAAATATGAATTTGGTGGTATATTGACTAACACTTCACCTGGTTTTTGCTAACAGGGATATCTTGATAGATGCCGAACTCACGTTCATTGATGGCTGCCTTACACACAGGATGTAGATTCATGATTCATCGGGGAGCTCAAAGTACCATGCTTCATTTGTGCAAACTGAGCCTACATCAGTGAATTCATGAGTCCTTGATTTTGTAGCCATGGGAAGTATAAGATGATATCATTATGCCATGGCTGAATATACCTATGTATACGGCAATAAATATTAGTTATTGGTACATAGCCATGAATCTCTGAAAATTCATTTTATTATGAGGAGTTCGTGACAAGATTACAACATTGCGCCATTGCAGCAATCAATATGCAATAGCATAGTTAAGTTATATTTGTTGACTCATACCATATCCCTTCATTTATGTTTTAAACTACCAAGTGATATAAGACTTTACCGTGGAAAGAACTGTTAGCACTTGTAACCTAATTTATATTCTTATGAGAGTTTCAACCAGCGAGGTATGATAGTGTAATTAGGTACCATTTGTTGAGCAACATCATATTACCTCATTTATGTTTGACTTACAAAACTATATAGATCGGTTCAAATATTGCGTGAATTACAAGATCATGCACGTGACTATCACCTTAGCCTCAAATTTTACCTTAGAATTTTCAGACAACCTCAAATCATGTGACCAGTGCAAGTGGTTGAAATTGATTTGTCATTGTTTGCACAGGATGGAAATTTTTACACAAGTTCCTTTCAATTTTTCTTTCACCGCTACTACCACCACCTCTCGACTCAGCATCTTCGTTCCTCCCATTCGTGGTGGTCCCTCCCTGGCCTTTTCCTTGTGGTACCTCCTTGGCCGTTCGTGGTGGTTCCTCCCTGGCCTTTCCTCGTAGTTCCTTCCTGGCCGTTCGTGGTGGCCATTCCTTTCCTCGTGGTTCCTTCCTGGCTGTTCATGGTGGCTGTTCCTTTCCTCGTGGTTCCTTCCTGGCCATTCGTGGTGGCCCTCCCTTTCCTTGTGGTTCCTTTCTCTGGCTGTTCATGGTGGTCCTTCCCTTTGCTTTCCTTGTAGCTCCTTCCTGGCCTTTTTTGTGGTTCCTTGTTGGCCTTTTCTCGTGGTTCCTTGCTGGCCTTGGTCCCTCCTTTCATTCATCTCTCTGCTATCTTTCCCTGTTTGATTTTTGTCCTGTAAATACATATGTAGTATTTAAATATAAATAAAATTAATTTGCTTCACAAAATGAGTGCTGAGGATGAGAATAATTTGGTGCTGGTGACAAAATGGCAGGTTGTTGCAGGCAATCTGTCATGCTGGCGCTTTTGGTAGTTCTGTCTAACTTACTCCAGGTAGTATTGTCCTGACAGATATCATGTAAATTTTGCAATTAGATAAAGCATTGTAAAGCATTATATTTTCATGTCAATTATTTGATGCTTTGGAGTTGTGAACCTCCCTTTCGTTATGGCATTTCATAAAATTTTATATGATAATCAGGGATGCGTCTTTCCTCTATAAGGCCAAACATAACAATGTGATTGTCAATAGCAAAATTATGCTAGTTCTTGTGATTATGTACTATATATTGTTATTTATTGCTATCTACTTTCCTCACGGGTTCACTGATGTACTGGCTGCTCATGTGGAACACCATGTCAAACACGAGAGCACTTATTATGTGGCTGTCTGCTATTCACATGCCAATGCATCCACTTGCGCGCAGTATACCACATCAACATGCCCTGGGTATGGAGAAGGAGATAGAGGCGCAAGCCAAACTCATTCATGACCCTAATGCTCTCAAGAAGGTTGTCATACTAAGACATCCGTCATGTTGACAACCCTTGGAGCTATGTGGAGATGACTCTGAAATGTTGAGTGGTTATGGACCCAGTCGATGGCTGGTTGGAAACTCGAATGTTCAGTAGACAGTAGTTCGACCCCAGGTTGGTGATGGACCTTGGCTGGCAATCTGCTGGCATTACAGATCAGTGCCATCTGTCTGAAGGCATAACCACGCAAGAATAATTTTAAATAACAATATTCAGCTCATAAAAGCCAGCCGTCTCCTTCAGAATTACCTGATTTCTTATCACAAGTGACAAGAGTCACAAATAATGTGTTTCTCCTCTGCATTTGTCCTTGCTGTTGTTGCTGCTTTAGCCTCATCATCTGTCTCTGCCATACCCTCTCAGGTTGATGAGGCTGGCGCCACTCAATGTGACAACTTTTGTTACACTGATGAAGATTGTCAAGGAATTGGCTGCACTAATCAGACTTGTGTGAGTATCAGTAGTTTTTGTGGCTCTGATAGCCTGACTCACTTGCATGGCAGCTCTTCGGTTGGTTCTGCATAGTGAGTTGTGTTTCTGCCCTTGCATCCATGCAGTATGGCCATTGGCACTGATGCACGAGTGATTAGTGATTTGCAGATTTGATCAATGGACCACGATCGCATTCAGATCCCCCCTGGTCGCTACAAAATTTAACATAAGACTGACGTTATTCTGTAACATGCCCTAAAACTTTCCTGGGTCATCACTACAGTAATGTCTTTGGAGCCACGCATGTCCATCCAGTGAATAGTGCTCGACTGATTTATCAAACACTTTTTCAAACATGTTACTTTGTTGTACGTGATCTGGAGCTCAGTTCCTGAACCAGTTTTGGGGGTGGCCCTGCCAGGTCCCAGGATTGATTGATCAATCCACAATGGTTGTATCAGTCATGTCAGAGTCAATGTCGAAGTTCACCCATGGCTATCTCAGCCTATGCATCAGTGAATTGAGGAGTCCTCGATATTGTACCCATGGGACTTATAGAAGGATATAATTTTGCTCGTGCTAGGTATGGGCATCTAATGTTGTAACATTGCTATATAGCTATGTAAGTCTGCAAACCTACATCAAAAAAACCCTCAATTACAAATTTAGGCTAAGTATGTAAATCTTTCTCTAATTTATAATAATTTTGATAATATCCACATTATTTTGATTCACATCTTAATGTCAAACTCCAGGTTTTAATGCATATTCTCATGATGGTTTTAATGTTCTTCTCATGACAGCATTTGAATTGCAAGATCCCAATTACTGTCAAATATCAATTTGGATTAACGTCTTGTAGATTATTACAATATCTATAATGAAATACATATATGCTCGTCCATACCTGTGACGCCCTTGTCTTCCTGTAAGCTGACCTTTAGGATTGTCTCTGAATCCATGCTGCATTCTTATCATTAACCTAAAAAATTTGACATGATGGAGGGGAAGATGCATACCAGAGATCGCACAGATATGCCAATCGGATTTGCTGCTGAACACCTGCTGTTTGTAGTTGGTCGTTGTGACGGTCTGAATCATATCACTGTGAACGTTGGTGGCCTGAGTTTGCACAGCAGTGACTTGACCCTGCACCTTGCTACCCTTCTCAAGCTCAGCCATCTGCTGGCACTGTATGGAGGGGGCAGCAATTTCCTGTAAGGTTGGGCCAGATGAAGTGTGGCTCTGTGATGGTTGACTTGTCCAGGTGCAAAATAATTTTTGCTTTCTCGTTGTTGACCTGCAAGCCACAAAGAAGGATAAGACGAGAGAAGGCAGTGTAGCTGGACACTGACTTAAGACAGTCATCGTACAAGCTGAACAGGACCATTTGAGGTTGTGTAACATACTGAGAAATAGTATCAGCAATGAAGATGCAAACACACATGGACCAACTTACTAAGATTGAGTCACCAAACTTCTCCATTTTCATGCAAGCCTGGAAGGGGAGTTATAAATCAGAATGGATTTTGTTCGTAGAGATGGTGAACAAAAGGGATGTATACAGCACCAACACAAAAAGAAGGGCCTTGTCGGCCGAGTGCTGGCGACACAAGCATACAACAACACTCTGAATCTACAGAATCTGGGGCGTCACAATGGTGCCCCATCGATATCAGCACTCTAAATAAACTCTCCAAGTCTAAGCTGTTCTGAATGTAAAGATGGTTGAACTCACAGATATAACAATGCTCCAGACATGTCCTAGAATTAATTGAGTGTTGAGTGACATTGGTAAAAATTGTAAGTCAGACAGACACTAATGTCATTATAATTATTAGTAAGCATTACAATCAATTCAGACATTTTTGTGTTTACAATATTAGTATTCATCAACAGCCTCCTGAATACAACATGGAGGGAGCTAGATTCATGATAAGAAGACCTACAAACAACAATAGCTATCATTTCGTTGTGGTATTGTGGGAAGAGTGGTGAACATCAGTGTCATTGACAGAAGCCTTGGCCCTCTTTCCCCTGGCTGCCTTCTTCTGCACCTTGGTATCTGCCACCGCTAGCACCTCAGAGATCCCTTCAACACCTTGGATGTCAGCTGATGCAGTAGCCGCACATGGGGCCATAGCAGTGGGGAGACTCTGACTTGGAGTTGAGATGGATGGTTCAGACACAGAAGGTACTGCAGGTTCAGGGGGAAGTGAAACAGTAGGAGATTGGTGGCGTGTTCCAATTTTAACATGAGTTTCAGTGTGTAATGAGGCCCCATCTGAGTCACTTTCATCATCAAGTGCGGCCATAATACAATCAAGTGAATCAGTAACATCCTCCACTGTAGTGCCTGGAGTATCCAGCTGTTCCTTGACAGCGCTGTCAAAGACATAAGTATTGATTTGTTGTACAATAGTTTTGATGTGATCATGTCCCCATTTGAGAACAAAAATTTTCTTGATAGTTTGGAGGACTGAGTAGTATGGGATTGAAGATATGGCCCCAACACCATCTCCTGAGAATTCTTGATCAGGAGACAGGACAAAGATCATCTACCAGCGTCGTAACTCATAAGTGCCTACTCAGATATTTGAACTACTGAAACCTTACAGATGTGATGCCAAAGGCAATTAGGCCAGGAGTACAGCTGGTGAGCTGCCATATCTTGGCGTAGGGAGGTGGGCCACCACATGCCTTTGGAAATAATGACATTCTGCCGCAGACTGCAACCTTGATAACCTTTTGTACAAAATATAAATGACTGCGGACACTTTTTGGCATGCACTTACCTTGGCAAACACCAACCAATTTCTAAATACTCTCTTCTCATTGACGACATGGTCAGGATAGAGGATTGGCACCTTGAAAACATCATATGCCTTCCCCTTGCCTGTTTCCCATCCGATCAATTGTGTGACTTGTGGGACAGAGTTACGGTCGAATTTTGACATGAAATACTCATTTGGCATGTTGAATATACTACCTGCCACGGAACATAGCCCATTGATGAATGATGACTGAGCTTGCTGCATTCCAGTTCCAAACTGTGCAAGGTTTCATAAGTCAGATTGATTTAAACGATGTAAAGGTATTATGAACCTGGTTATAAAAAGCATTTGTTTGCATGTGAGGGTGCAACACAAAATCAATGGATGTGTAGAGCTTGGTTACAAGTGTGTCCTTCTCCGTTGACTTCTTAGTGTAACAATTTGGGTTCGAAATTTCGGCTGGAGGGTCAGGACAATTGGTTTGAAAAATGACCTTGTCGGGAAGCAACATTTCAGTAGTTATTGAATACTTCTTTGCCACACTGAGAACGAGCTTCTCGGTGTCACTAGTCTTAGATGAAGCGCTTGCTGTAGATGGGCCTGTGGATGACAGTTGGAATGCTGAAGATATCGTATTGGAGGACGACACTTTAGGAGGGTGCTTGCAAGAATGTTTCAGCTCTTGTGCATTGAGGACATTATTGTTCTCATTCAGCATTGCATTGCACTGCTGAAGCTTGCCATGCTGAAGCTGAAGGTATTTAATATACTAGATGGAACATGTTAGGATATCAATAGAACAGCAAATGAAGCCTACCTCTTGGTAATGCTCTATGGAAGCACCTTCGCTTGGTGGAGCAACAGGCTGGTCACGATTGCTTTCATCTGCCAAGTCTGAGTCTGAATGAATACTCGAGGATGTTGAATTCAAATATGATTCTGAGTCAGTCATTGGTCAACAATAGAACAGCAGAGTGTGCAAAGCGAAAGGGACCTGGGAGTAGGGCTTGCAGGAAAAGTCAATTATCTCAGGTTACTGATATTTTATACATTCGGGAAGTCAGGTGCCATGAAGCAGCCTGCTTCGGTGTGTGTGAACATCAAAGTCCTATTAGTAAGTGATACAGAAGCAAGGCCTCGATGTAATCATATGTGATTTGATGATAACACTTACCCGGACGTTGGTACACAAATCCTGGGTCAGTCCTTCAATGACACTATGGATCATTGAGGATGTGACTTGAATTTAGTGAAGTGAGTAGAAACACAATTAATTACTGCAGCACAATGCATATGTATTACATGTTACTGAGTATAATAGCACACATTGTGAGTCTTGGTCGGATCAGATGTCATGGATGAAATAAAGTTACTTACATCTGTATTAAAATGAAGAACACTTGAAAAGATATTACCGGACAAGGACCCTTCAAGTTGCTTTATATGGTGAAGCAATTTGTACAAATGGTCGATTCGACGTAATAATGGGAGTTGCAAGTCCTATCCCGTCTAGAGACCGTAATCAGCATCGATAACCTTCGACAAATAATTCACACACTGAACAATTTACCAGCATATCAAGCAATCCTGAACGGCGATACTAGTCAGTGCATGACCAATATGCAGGCTTCCAGTGATGTTTGGGGGAGGCATCAGAACCACAAAGACGCCCTCTGGTTTAGTATCCCCATTTTCCGTGGTCTGAGGCTTGAAGAAGCCTTGAGCCTCCCACCAATCATACTAAGCAGACTTGATTGCAATAGGATTATACCCACTTGCCATTGTCGGTTGAGACATATCTATACAGTATCAAGAATGAAAGAAAAAAAGTGTGAAGAAAACACACCTTTTTGCTCACCCTCCAAGCCAGGATCGTTCAGAGTTGTTGCCATTGCTAAAGATCGAATAGGTTGTGATCGGTGTATTGAATGAAAAGGAAGCCATAATGACCTGAATGGTCAAATCAGTATATGAAACATATGGACATGCTAAAGACTTACTGCAACCTCCCCCTCCTCTGTACATGGCCATTTCCTCTAGTTATTGTGGTACATCGGCCTTCGCCTCATGCAAGATAGATATAAACTCACGAGCAGACTTCGAGTTATCGGTAGTGAAGTACGTGTATGAGGTACCTTTCATGCCGGTATGCTAAGAAGAGTTAGACCAAGGATTGGTGGGCTGAGTGAGAGCAACTTACTCTCATATGACCAATACAATGGATATAATCTTCGCAGTTGTTAGGGAAATTGTAGTTCTAGAGGAAAGTTAATAGCCAATCAGTACTAGTAATGGACCACTACAACACTCACAATTACATATTGATCCTTGACATCTGTGACACCAGTAATGCAATACAACCGTGTTGTGTACAGAACAAGAGAATATTGAACATATAGCACATTGCACAATCAATAACATGACAACCATAAAGAGACACAAGCGCGTCCATCAAGATGCCTGATCAACTTAGCATGCTTCTCCAAGTCACTGCAGACTTCGACAATCTGCTGAACATTGTGGTGGGCAGTGAGTTCCATAGACTCAATGTTGACCTGAATCATGTCTTTTAAAAAGTCCTGCAAATACTGAGATTAATCATGCAACCATAATATGTTGATTGTTTACATTTGTGAGTTTCTGCACATCCTTCGGCCACATAGCACTAAACATCAGTGTCTGACGATCAGGGCGAATCTGAGATACAATCTTGCATATCTGGGGCTCAAGTCCAACATGCGATTGGCCTCATCCATGACTAAATATGTGATGTGACGAAGATTGGTCTTTGATGTCTCCAGCATATCAATGAGCCATCCAGGAGTGGTGATCACAACCTCAATGCCACATTGCAGGTCACAAATTTGAGGACCTTTAGGAGGGCCACCATAAATGGCCTAAGTGTTGCGGATGCGAGAGCTTGACCTATTGATACATCAGCAAAAGCCAACACAGTGAGGTGACAAACATACACAAATTTCGTGCACTCCTGCTGAATTTGATTACCAGTACAAATTTATAACTGAGGAGTCATCTTGAGAGCCTCATCTTCTGCTTCTTTGTACATGCCTTTGATTCACTCAATCCAAAGTTGCAGGTCTTTACTAATAATGTGTGTACAACTCTAGCTGTGACACATTGATTGCCATTGCGACCACATATCCAGATAGAGGGATCTCACTTTCTGTGCTGTTGCCTGAAAGGACGAAGAGCATATGAGTGCATGGTTGAACGAACAACATTAAATTATACTTGAAGAGACTTGATATGAAGGAACATGTCAGTGTCCACAGTGTGCATAACAAAGTAATCTCCATTCATTTCTGGATCTTTGGTGAGCACAGCACCTCGGATAATCGACTGGACCAAAATGATCTCAGATGATGACTGAGATTTCGCACGTACACACCACAATCCCAGATCAACATCCTGCCTTCAACGAATACTGATACCAGCATCATAAGGATGTATAAGGGCCAGAGGGAAATGAGTATCACCAATCGAGCAGTCAAACAAGTATACAAGGCAAGTGATGAATGGTTTGCCAGTAGTTTTGATGATGATGCAATCAAACCTTGGTGATCCATAAAATTTTGGGCTGCACCGAAGTAAGTCTTGGTGCATGCGCCAATCAACCATGGACTCATAATTCACCTGTAGGAATTGGAACTCTGTAATCTACAAGAAAAATCATTGAGGATGGTCAATTGCAACATAGAGTAAATAGTGCACCTCATCCTCGGCTCCGAGACGAAGGGCCCTTCCATCTGGTAAGGGAATGTCATTCTGCAGTAAGAACACATTCAGGAAGCCATTTAGCTTTATCTGAAAGTCATTGAAGGCTCTATCAGTTTTGTGTGCACATGCAATGTCTGAAAAAGAGTGTTGGCCTTGCTTTAAACCCAAGTGCACATGGATGACAGGGTCTGCTGCTAATTCAATATCCAGAGGTTTGTTTGTCTCTGGGTCATTGGTAGCCTTTCAAACATAGTTGTTGAGCTCATAGAGCTCAGTACGCATACATGCTGATGTTAAAAGCCAATGATCATAGTTCAAGATCTGTAGCTTGTAAGTAAAACATTAGTCTTGTACACTGCAATGTGACGAACTTGAGGAGCAACATCCTTAAAGTTTGTACATCAAAGGTAAATTTTCTGTAAAGCACCATGCATCTTCTCATTTGGCTTGGTGTTGTAGTTATGTGTTGCACCTTTGGCCAAAATATTGTCGAATATGTGGGTGATCATGTGCTTTTTTGGAAAGTTCCAATTTTTATTCGTTTCAGGCTGCGACACAGTAATATATTCCTGTTCACATCAGACGAGTCAAATGATTACTGAAAATGATTAACAGCATCTGAAAAACTTATGTCCATCAATTCCAAGAATGTAACCAAGGTCGCCCTTCCAGCCACAATAGTCTCCTCAGTGTGAACTTTGAACGAAGCATAGATGTTGAGCTCAAGATAATAGTGGATGCAGCGTAGAAGGAGGTATCCTATCTTAGACTTTGATTCAAGTAGGACATCCTGCACTGTAAAGAGAACCAGCTTTTATTTAAAGTCTGTGTCAGTACAAAAAATCGTGTTCGAAGTTGGCGCTCGTACCTTTGAAATATCCTTGTGAAATAAACCATCGTTGAAATTGACTGACATGACAGCCTTAAAGTGCGTCAAGTTGGGCCATCGTGGAATAGCATCAAAGCTAAGGCAGTAAGTCAGCACCACAATGAGCTCATATATTGTTCATCTCAAGGAACTAGACAGACTGGGCATGGAAACTTGCCCTTCAGACCATGAATTAATGCCATGACACATCAATAGTAGGTAAGCCTGATAGTAGAGCAGTAAAATAATGGTAACACATACTGTTCTTCATAATCTCTGCTTAAGATCAATATCAAAGGCCAGAGACGGTGCTGAGTCTGATCCCCACATTCAAACCAGTAGCCATTTTTCGAGTGCAGCTCAATTGACTTGAGAAGCTGGTAGAAGGATTTGTGCCACACTGCATTTTTGAAGTCTACAAAGCTCTTCTTTCTTGTATGTTTTTGATCCTCGGCAACCTAACAACATAGTAAGTAATAGTAGCGACACATTATAAGATACTAACAATCGGCAACCAACCAACAATGTGACCTCCTCCTAGGGTCGTATTGCCATTGTGAATGTGAACAGGCAGGTTTGCGATGTGTGCAACAATTGGATATCCTTTCACAGTCCCAAAAGTAGATAGTTTATTTGTGTCAGCATACAGAATGAACACGAGCAGCTTTGCATCTGGCAGAAGTTGAGACTACAACAGTAGTAATGTTGACAGTTTTTAAGTACAATACAGGAATCGAAACCTGCAAAACATACTTGTGCATTCCAGAAGGCATCAGCAGTCCATGGTTCATTGATGAAGTGGACGAACTGTTCTCCATTAAATTTGGAAAGTTGTTGAGCATCAAATACATATAAAGTGAGATGTGAGATGGCTGTCTCGCAATAAATCAAGCACCCAGTCCCAGAGAGGGTGATAATGCATCTCGAACTCATGTGTCTCATTGTCGTACTCAACAGATACTACATCCTTTTGAAACTAGTGCACACTACATATTAATGAGGTTTGGTAAATACACAAAAAGGAAGACAATCACCAGTGTATACCGCTGCAAAGCCATTTCCCACAGTGAGTGAACCTTGTTGTGACTTTGCAATGTAAATTTGTCTGCGCCACTGGCAGATCAATGCACAAGATCAAGCAATCAGTTTGTCTGTTCCTTGGTCATTGCAGCTTCAAGTGCAATCTCTGCAACTTCGAAGTCCAGTCGCATCCGGAAGGGTTCCCATGGTGAGTTGTTACAAGGTACCTGGCCCTCTGAAGAGCAGCTGCAAGAAAAATCTGCAAAGTGATGTACAACAGAAGGAAGTTTGCTATGTGGATGGTATTCAACTTTGATATCATCAAGCTCGTAAGCCTGAGGGAGCTCATCGGGATGATTGAGATCAGGAGTGTCAAGGTCAGGTAAGACAACAGCATTGAAGTTGATCAATAGGTGTCTACATGGCGATGACCCTTGCATGTCTTATATAGATGAAATTTAGTGGGTCTTGCAAAGTCAAATGGCAAGGCAATCATACCAATGTTATTCTCTATACCCTCCTTTTCTGATACATTGCCTTCGTCTTGTGCTGCCCATATCGTGAGAGGGTTCACTATATAGTTATACCAGAATGGTCAGATACATGATCAAATCACTGATAGTGTGTGTGCTCACCTGCAGATCCAGACTGTATGCCTTCAAGACCTCGTTGTTGTTTGTGAAGTCTTTGATGCTCCTTTTAATGTGCTATACCATTTAAATTATAACTGTTAGTACATTAAAACATCATATTCAATAGCTTACCTGTTTGCTCAGCAGTCCGAACTATCTCGGCAAGTTCTTCATCCTCACGTTGTTCCCATCCTCTCTTTTCACACTTCTTTAAGTGTGATGCTAACCCACAGGCTCAAATTGCTGTACTGCAAAGGCTGCACTTGGTGGTCTCTGATGTTCGCTGCTGCTTTGCAGGCAGTGTCTTGGGCATTGGGGTGTATCTTGGGTGATGGAATCAGAGAAAGGTCACGGTGAGCACTGCACATATGCCTGACTATGTAATAATAACTTGGAGCTTATCGCAACAATATTGAAACTCAGTTTAGATCTAGTAATCACAACATAATCTGATCATAATGGTGGTTATAATGATTTCAAGGCACATTATAATGCCAGAAAAAAAATCTCCAACATATGTTCAACATCAGGCAAACTTACAACTAAGAATGCCTGACTATCAGTATGAACACTTATGCAGGAATTTGAGTTGTACAAGAACAAATTAGAGTTTCATTCAATGGGGGTATACAAACATAGGTTGTGTGTATTTATAGCAACAGATAAATGAGAGGGGAGCATATTTATAGCCAGACTCCAAACCAATCAGTGGTGTGTAGCGAGTCTTCATCCTAATAGTACTTAGTGCCAAATATGTACATACAAAACTTATTTGAAACACTGCAACTTTGGACTCTTACACACCAAGCCGACTGGCACAACTTGTAGTGGTGCGAAGTTTGCTAGTGTTTGTTTCACCGAAAATTCAACCAAGCAGTTGACAGACACTTTGACAGCTACAGCGTGTGACAGTGTTACGGAGGGAGTTGAATATTATTCAAATATAATAATTTGCAAAATGACTAAAATGTGCTGCACAATGTGTAAAACACGAGGCAGAATGTAGAATATGAACATGGTACCCACAGTGCATGTGCACTACCTCAAAATGAACCTCAATGTGTGATTGAAGAATGTTTCAGAGTGCCTGCAGCAAAACAGCCTCTCAGCAGCAGAATTTGTCAGTGTGGTGTTGAACAGCTGAGACACTGTTCACACAGATGTCCAAGAGTCGCTTATGATGAACATGGCTGAGATTTTCTCAGTGCTGTACAACCACAGACACAAAGATCAGTTTTCATGTGGGTGACAGCAACAATGGAAGAATACCTTTGCCAGGAGGTTGCTGATCTATCCCTCAAAAAAAATGGCCTACATTTCAAGGCCACCTCAGCAACTGTGGAGCAGCTAGAAACAACATTCATGAGTCAACTTGCCACAAAGATGCAAGCTGTTTTTCTGAACCTTTGGAACCTTGTCTTAGCTCTTCTTGATAGCAGGAAAACCCATTGTCGACAAATGCCAAGTGCTGATAGCCACAGACTGGTGCCAGAAGTTGGAACAGACCTTTGCACAGTGGGAGATGGACTTGGGTGAATTGGGTGGAGATGAGCCAGAGAGTGGAGATTACGAGAAAGAGGATGATGATGGGTCATTTTTGAAGCGGCTGAAAAACTATCAGTGTCATGCTGCTCAACGAAATATTGCATTACTTACAAACCATTGTGAGTTGTTTTCAAGTCTACAGCATCTGCCAGCTACTGACAATACCCAGAAAGCTGTTACAAGTGATAATCAGCATATGCCTGCAAAAAGATTAGCAACACATAATGTCTCTGTCATTGTCACACATGTTACAATTATTGAAAGGTCTGTCTAGTGTACCCAACCATTTGTTGACCACTCGGTTGAATTTTCGGTGGAACAAACACTAGCAAACTTCGCACCACTACAAGTTGTGCCAGTCGGCTTGGTGTATAAGAGTCCAAAGTTGTGGTGTTTCAAATAAGTTTTGTATGCACATATTTGGCACTAAGTACTAGGATGAAGACTCGCTACACTCCACCAATTGGTTTGGAGTCTGATTTATAGCAATACAAATTGTAAAGGTAATCAACACAAGACCACAACTAGGACATCCAGAACTACTTGTCATCATTCATGCCATCAAGGTCGAGGGGATAGGGAACTGCACGGGTATGGGTAACCCATGGCGGGTCATGGGTGCAGGTACTGCCAATGTCTTAAGAACCGAGGGTCTTATATAAAGCATGTAAAAATGTAATGACACCACAATTACACTTGAATAAGACTTCTTGCCAGTCCTCGATTAGCACGGTCTACGACTTTTCTAGTTTTTGTGGTAGATAACATGTGAGTTCTTGGGAGGCTTGCTAAACCAATCAGGTGATCAACTTAGCCAGAGCTTTTATGTGTACCTCCAATTGCTTTGTCTAGGATTTGCTACCTAGATTCAGAACTGTGGTCTGAAGTACAAATAACTTTGCTTAGATTGCACGTTCTAGGCACTGAGATGAACTGGATAGATTTGACCAAGGCACAAGTTGGTCAAATAAGCACAAATAGTAGAGAGACAAAGAGGTCTCTGAAATATCATGTTGACCAAAGACTGGTTGGTCAAATAGGCACAAGTAGTACTGGTGAGACAACAGTCTCAAGAATAATCACATTGACCAAGACACGAGTTGGTCAAATACACAGTAAACAGAAGAGACAATGGTCTCTAAAATCACATTGACCAAAGACTGGTTGGTTAAATAAACAGTAACATAAGCTTCTTATCGTAAGAAACTTGTATTCTCAAGGGATACGTTTCCCTGCACTTGTTCTGCTACAAGTGGGAGATCTTGACAAGTGAGATGTCTTGTTCAACTGAGGGGTTTCTCTGAGAAGAAAATTTCCTGGAAGACAGATCTCTATTTTTTGGGGGAGAATGGGCTCTTCTTATATACATTTTGTGCGGGAAAGTAATGTAGGTTCACAAACAATAAAATAAAGAGAGAACCAATCAGAATATTAGGTGAAACCCAATAAAAGAATAAAATACAAATAAAAGATGGAGTAATGACATCATAGTGGAGCTAGAACATTCTAGAGCCTATGACATCATTATGACATCATACATTACATCATAATTTCCAACAGAATAGTCCAGAACTTTCTGTGGAGCTATATGACATCATACTCAGAAAAGATATTTTCTGGAGTATCTGGTAAGTCATAACATCCTAAATAAAAGAAAAGAAAAGAACAATGCTAGAGAAAACAAGATACAAACAATGATACAAATACAATATGCAAGACACAGGCCTTTTGGATAGGTTTTTGTTAGGCTTTGAACTTTTCTCAAGTGTTTTCTCTAGCCAATGTGAATAAGCCAAAGGCAATGCAATACCTTAACCTTCATTTCACTTCTCATATTAACTAGGTCATTCTGTGATTCCCATCTCACATATGACTTTTTCTTCTTCTTCCATATAAAACTTGAAATATATGACCAAGGTTTGATACCAAGGTATGAGGTGACTAGTCTGAGGACTATGCTAACAGACATAATCTTTTGAGGTTATTCCTAGTAGTAGTTATGTCCATGCATGATTCCCATATCATGCAGGACACTGGGTATGGGTATAGGTCAGGATTTTGTGACCCACGCAAACACCTGTATCACCTGGATTACCCAATAAAGAAGCCTAATTATACTTGGTAGTTACATGCCTCGCTAAGTATTATTAGGCTTAAATATGCTAAAACTCAACATTAGGATTAAATACTGCCCCAGCTCTGACCTTTATACCTCAATAATATTCTACCTATGTACCTTACTATGCCCCACAGACACTATTCAGCAATTGTCGAACATAGGTTACTTCCTATGCCCCTTGATCTCTCCCTCACTAGGTGTAGGATCTATTTTTTCTGCCGGAAAAACAATAAACTTTTTGAAAGAAAAGGTCAAAATTTATCTTTTATTCAATCTGCCTAAAAATGATGAAACAAGATCATAATGTTCTTCTAAATTTCCAATGGAACAAACTGCAAACAAATTAAAATTTGGTGTTTTAAATTTCTTTATGATATATCAGGTGACAATTTTAGAATAATGTTCACCTTTGTTACTGAACAAAATACTATACAAACTAGAAGCAACATGGGATATGATTTGTTTTGAAAAAGTATATCAGAAAAGTTGAATGGAGAAATCAAAACTTTTTTTATCATTTATTTCATGGAAAAAAGCAGACAAAATCAGGACCACAGAACCATTTAAATTTTTCCTAACATTGTTGGACACAAAAATCAAAACAAGATTGTGACCTTCTGTCACGATGAATATCATGTTTTATCAATGGCAATACAGGGAACAAATTAAGAGCCAAATTTCTACATGAGAAAAACAAAAAAGAAATTGAACAGAACAAATCATGAACTTGGTTTCTGATATGTCCAGAGTTTGTTTGCAATACAAAATAAGGAAAAATTGAAACAAATATTAGGAATAGAGGGTGTGTGAATGATGAATGGTCCACTGACTAGTCAAATTTTCAATGTCCAAATTCAATGTTTAATTTTTGAGTCCAATATCTGAGGTCAATGTCCAATGTCCAAGGTCTAATGTCCCAGTGCAATGTGCTAACTCATATTTCAATGTCCAATGTCCAATATCAACATTCAATGTTCAATCATCAAAGTCTGAGTCTAATATCCAGGTTTAATGTCCAATGTCCAATATCCAAATCCAATGGTCAATATCTTAGTGCAATTTCTAATGTCCAAATTCAATGTTTCATGTCCTAGATTGATGTGGGGCACTGAACATCAGATTTTGACATTGGAAATTGCACTAAGATATTGACTATTGGATTTGGATATTGGATATTGGACATTAAACCTGGATATTGGACTCAGACTTTGATGATTGAACATTGAACTTAGACATTAGACATTAACCTCGGAACTTGGACTTGGACATTGGACATTGGACATTGGACATTAACCTCAGACATTGGATTTGAACATTGGGCACTGGACATTAACCTCAGACATTGGATTTGGACATTGGGCATTGGACCTGGACATTCAATATTGACCTCAGACATTGGATTTGGATATTGGACATTGGACTCAGACATTGGTCATTAACCTTAGACATTAGATTTTGCACAACCCTCACCTATTATCAACACACCCCAAGCAAACCATTAATTCTAGCATTTGGGCAGATGCATGACCATGTCTTCTACTAAGAAGGTGGCCAAAGTATGTGAGCATTGTACTGCATCTGGAGCTAACTGTATCTGAAAGCTGAACACAAGGTGTAATCCTTGCATCAAGGCCAGGAAAGCTTGTTTG